ATTATGTATGTGACATGTGTGTAGGTAATTAATAAGTTTTGTAGAATGTAATGCTTGTACGTTACAATTCTTCAATTCAGGTGTGTATCATTATATACTACTGCATTTCTTTGTAATTTGTATAACAATTGTTAAAATAAATCATCGATAAAATGTTAACAAAATGTCTTATATAATGCATATTTTAATAAAATTATAAAACAATGATAAATGTTTTTGCTCTAAAACGATGTTTTTTTATTTTAATTTCTTAATTTAGGGGTCATGGTAAAATTCAAAGATACGTGTGTTCAAATCACCAATAACGCTACGATATTGCGTGAACGCAATTATTATATTGTCATACGCCAAACGAGTTGACACTACACATGTGGCATAGCCAAGGAGGGATAAGTGGGCTATAGCTCTCCCTCCCATTGATCGTGTTTATTTTAGCCTATATTATTATTTCATATTTAAAAAATGTGGATGTCACTCTGCTGTACAGTAGGTTACAAGTGGATCAATGTATAAAGGATTGTATCAAACTTCAATTCAATGATATAAAATCATTGTATAAGAAAAACGGTTCTGAGCGGAGACGGTTTGTCAGTCTGGACATTGTTATTATTTATTATATCCTGTAAGTTGAATTTATATTATAATAGGTATTATTATTTTTATGAGTTTCTATGGTGATAAACAAAGCGTTAGAAATTAAAATTCCATTTTTAGCGGTTTTTCGTAATTTTTCGGTGGTTTTTCCTGGGCATTAAACAACTATTGAGAAAATTGAAAAATGACCTTTCTAAAGTACCATCTTGATCCAATTCGCTAAAAGGTAAGGTACTATATGTTGAAATCGAAGAACTCCTTCTGGTGAATATTTTGTATGCAGGACATAAAAAAAAATAAACACCATTGTAAAACCACTAGCTTCCTCGCTCCGTTTAGAATCTAAAATAATTTTACAAAAATCTTATATAGCCTCACCGGAATCGGTGTAACTAGGGGTGGGTGGGGCTTAGGGTTATCTAAACCTTATGATTTTTATTTTTATAAATATAATAGATTATAAATATATATGTTTGATCAACTGCAATACTTACTTGAAACAAAAAAAAATAATAAAAATAAATAGGTATAAAGTAAAATATAATTAATAATTAATAAAAATGGTTAAAAATTCCGACATAAAAATGATACATTTCGTAAAAAACATTAAATTCTGACTATTTTGTTATTTCTTAACTTTTATTTTTTAGCCTTTGTAGATAATTATTATTTGTATTTTTCGTTAAAACTGCACGAATATTTAACAATTTAATAGTCGCTTGTGAATTTGATTAAAGTAGTACAGTAGTTCAGTTGATCAAAAATAAACATCTATAATTTAATATAGGTATTTATGAAAATATTTGAATATATTAGACGCAATGGGCATAAATATATTCATATTAAATAATAACTATATTATATTATTAAACGATTAACTTTAAAAAAAAATGTGGGAAAATGTCTGCAAAAAAAATAAATCAGGGGGGAAATGTACGTGATTCGTTATAGGCACTGATAAAATTAATATGAGATTTATGTCTAATGAATAAAAAGAATTTAAATTTGTTGATTGTTTTAAAATACGTCCAAGTCTTAAGTGAAATAAACCAGTTACAACTTTTTTTTGAACATATCACAGGTCGTCAGTGTATGCTATAGCCCAGGGGTCTCCAACCTTCTTTCACGGCGGGCCAACATTTTTAGAAATGTGTTGTCTAAAAAAAAAAAAAGAAACAACACTATTCTATATTATATACTCGATACATACTAGCGCAGACGCGCAGTTAAAAAAACCCGTCGATTATACGTTCGATAGCGTTATTATTACAACAGAAAAAGTCGATCGTATCTCATCTGACCATCGCGTAAGTTTCGAGTACAATATAAGTCAGGTAAGTGTGATTGACGAGTTTATCTATTGATAGTTAGCGATAGTATATAATATGTATAACTATTATAAGTTTTTTATGAATAATACCAAAAGAAAATATCATAAATTAATTTTATTTTATTAATCGATTCAATATAGCTAAAGTTAACTATATGTTATTTTTAATAAATTAAAAACAATGAAAATTAATATATTATTTTCAAAACATTAATTATAGCTTGGCGGGCCGGTGCAAAAAGCTTGGTGGGCCGGACCCAGTGGTAGGTTGGAGACCCCTGCTATAGTCCATAAAATCAAAGCAAATACTTATACGTTTCACTAATTTTTACAATAACTATTTTGATCACCCAGACAATCCAGTACACCACTGTCGTGGGTCCATCGTGGAGTTCATCACTGTCTATCAGACACATCTCATCTGGAAATCTCTTCAAAAGTGTTATGTTATAATTTTTTTATATACTACGATTTGAATACTGTTTTTAGTTTTATTTCTGAATAATGAGATATTATTAAAGCCAATGTTAATGTGTTTCAAATATTTTCAATAATGCAAAATATATTGTTACTATTTTCAATTTTGATCACCCGGCGATATGGATAGGCAAATCAAGTACACCACTGTCATATGGGTTTATAAATTGTATAGACGAAACGGTGTTCAAACTTTTTTCATCCCGCGGCTCCTTGGTGTGTTCACAATATTTTGACGGCTCCCAAATGATTATGATAACATTGGAACAATATGGATCATGGCCCATACGGGTGATAACAACTGTGACTTTAGTACAAAAAATAAAACTTCAAAGGGTCGCGTGATGTGTTTCGTTACCGTTTCCATAATCCTCCAATGATTATAAATCTATAAATAATACTTATATTAATATTATACATGACCTACATTCGTTTTGGTTTCCGGTGCTTTGACGTGGCCTTACTCTCGCGACGCCCCTGAGTGCCACGATGCACAGTTTTAATACTTCTGCCTTCTGGTAATAGAATTTATCACTGTAAAAGCATAATCTCATCGCATCACAAGACTTGTTGTACCTATTACAATATTTTCTTAATGGTTAGGTTAGGTGTACGGTAATAAATGGTTAACAGTAATAAAATATCCTTAACATATTTTATTATAACACTTTTTTATGCAAATAACTATATGTTGATCTCATGCAACTACCTCTGAGTCCTACACTTTAACCAAATATTAATTGTTATGGTGCTGTCATGCTGATGTACCCTCTATGTGTCGTGCATGGATAAATAATCTAATCCAATGACATCATGTTCCAGTGGCGTCCGCAGGGGAGGGGCTAACGGGCTTAAGCCCCCCCCCCCATTGCCGGTATTATTATTACTTTTTCAAAAAAATATTGATCAAGTTTAAACTGTAAACTATAGTAAATTTCATATATGTCTTACCAGAATGAATTCATTTTTGAAAAAACATTGTATTTACCAATTTTCATAAATTATCTGTAATTTTTCGGTAAAAGTATGAAGTACTTGTATGAAAGACCTTGTATTAAATTTGAACTACAAATTAACCGTGGTTTTGACGAAATTTGAACTTTAAATGCTTATAAAAAATAACCATGATGCCTATGTATCGTTAATATTTTAGCTATAATAAAAAAACTTACGTATTAAATTTTTAAGCTTTTTGACCTGATAAATAATTTTTTATTGACATTTATAGAAAAATAATTTTATAATTGATCAGATACAATCCAAGTTAGAACGGTATAACCAAGTTTGTTACCAAACAATTTAAATAAATTTTCATTTTTTTTCTCCAATTATTTTTAAAAGCACTGAGAATTTTTAATTTCGACCTCCTAAAAGTACTAACTAGATCCAATTTGCTTCCAAAACATACACTGGGCATCGAAGCTTATGATCAGAGCATTTTTTCTACCAGAAAAGTTGAAAAGTTACAAACATTTTAAAATACCCCAAATAAACGTCTGTAATTATTAGACTGGACAAAATAAAAATAAAATTGCAACTCATTTTCAAGCCCCCCCCCTCATTGAAAAATCCTGCGGCTGCCACTGTCATGTTCGATCAATGTCAAACCTCAAAAACTGTAAGCAGCAAGTGCTTTGTACTGTACCTACGCCTAGTTTATTGTTTATAACATTTATGATTTGAAACATTATGCATTTGTGTTAGAATCTTTTTATTATTGTTTATAAAATATTCCACTGATTATTTTAAAAATAAATATAATATAAATGTTACCTACTACATTCGTTAAGTCTTACAAAAATAATTAGTAAATACCTTTACTATTTTTCACATAAGTTTTTGTTTTTTACACTCCACGGTAAGTTAATTAATATTAATTGTAAGTATTTGTCTTTAAATTTGAATAAATGAGAAAAAAATTTTAGGTAAGTGCATGGATAAGGTTTTATCACAATATGGGGGTTAGAGCTTTCTTAAACTTAGTGAAAACCCTTCTCCCTGCACCGTGTCATGAAGAGTTGAATACTGTCAACTTGTAGGTAATGTGTTACTAACAATGTTATGCAAGTATTAAATATACAGATCACGACACGACTAGGTGTAGTGTGAACCCGGCTTTATATTATAATAAAGAAGTTAACCCCACACGACCTTATAATAATTATTAAAAATATTTTACCCCAAATAATGAAAATAATTTATGCTTTTCCTAATGATTTTTAGGAAGCGATTGAACCCCAAAAAGTGACTACTCATGACTTTCCAACACCCGTTTAGTGATAATAATTAGCTTCCCAAAAACTGCTTCGTGTTTACTAATAACTAAATATCTAAAATAGCATTTTTGATTACACATTTTTAAACAAAAAAAATGACAAAATTTTATGAAAATAATAATTGTTTCATCCTACAATTGTATAGTCAATAGTTAAAGGAAAGAAAGTAAATAAAAATTCATTATGATACCAACTTTTAATGTAATAATTTACTTTTATAAAAAAAATAAGCAGGTATTTGTATATTTAATATTATTACATTAAATTTAGTGATATTGTTATCAAAATTCTAATAAACACAACAATAATTTATTTCCAAATGGCTAAATGTATTTGAACACCACTGCAGATCGGTCTTCAACAGTTTGTAATTCTAACTTGATCGGACATTGCAGCCAATAGCTTAAAAGTTCTTCCGTATAACCAATTAGGAAATATACTTTGGTCACACTAATTTTCTGTACCGTTATGGCAGCTATTCTTATGATGTTGTGTTGTCTTTTTATGATTATTTCACTAGCAATTAAATCATGCCAAGTGCCTGTCATGAAACGACGAATGAACTCGTCATCTATTGCAGTTTCAGCCGGTCTTAAGCCATCTAACATGTTACCTATAAAAAGCAAAATTGAATTTACCTTAATGCTTAACAACAGTGTTAACCAACATTTTTAGACCTAAGTATTAATTTTTTATCATACACGTGTTCCATGAATTCCATCCCTTGATGTGAGCAATAGTGTGTGGTGGCCCAGCCATCTCATATGTTAATGGTTTATTACCCTTGATAGATCGTTTGTAACGAGCTGCTTGTACATGTTTACATCGAGATAGAATCAAGTAACTACTCCTCGCAGGAATAAATCGGGACAATGTATCAAGGAACATCATTAATGCTTAAATTCCTCTGCAACCATATTATAATATAAAGTCAATAACCATGCATCATATTAAATATTTTATTTTATTCATTACAAAGTACTTACTCAAAATGTTGTAATCACCAAATTGTTCAGCTAGGTGAAATTTCAATGAACTAACTGATGCTGATCTGAGTCTGACGACCCGAAATCTTTGCTCTATTCACTTCAATCTTGGTAATTTGGTTTAAAAATCATGAAAATTTCATGATGAAATTAATATTATAATTTAATCTATTTACATTTTATCATAATCCGTGATAAACTGATAACAGGATTTTTATATCTATATCACAGAATAGATCACGGACTAAGATATACAGGACTGGACACGAGATGAATATTGTGGTTACGAAATGTTTTACAACAGGCGGAGTTCGGGGGGATATTTTCCTTTTAGCATTACTAGCGCCGTCTTAGTGGATACTTATGGAACTAGAAATTTGTATTATGTGTTCTAGTTCCATAAGTATCCACTAGGACGGCGCTAGTAATGCTAAAAGGAAAATATCCCCCCGAACACTGCCTGTTGTAAAACATTTCGTAGTCAACCCCCCCACACCCTCCAACCTTGTCGTTTCCAGTCCATTATATCTTAGTCCGTGGTCCGTGGAATAGATGAAATTATCATTAAATCATCTATTCTGTGATAATATTATACATAATCCGTGATAAACTGATAACAGAATTTTTATATCTATACAATTACTTACTGACTATATTAAGCACGATTTAAGATATACCAAATACTATATACGATAGTATATAGAATTTGATTAGGTATAGTATAGTAAAGACCAGTGGCGTAGCCAGGGGGGGTTTTGGGTGTTTAAACACCCCCCATTGACATTTCCCCCCTAATAAATATATTGTTTATAGGGTTCGGGACTGCTTGCATGTTTCATTGTAGTGGTAATAGGTTATTTTAGATAAGTTATAAATTTGTCTTATCAAACAAAGTTTGAATTTGCAGATTTTTGCAAATTGTAGGAAAATTGTACATTTGAGCGATTTTTCGCATATTTGGGCATATTTAAAATTTTTTTAACTTAAATGTAGGTACATACAATTGTTAAAATCATATTTGGATAACATTGAAAAATATCTTTAAAAATATTATGTTTGGTTAGGTATACAATAGGCGCTAATTTTGAGATTTGGGGAAGCCGAAGCCTAAAACCATACTATTATAAAATTTAGTAAATGTTTGGGAGACCTGTTAAAGTTCTTGGTGGAGCTTGGCTACGGTTGGCCCTATTTTCGCATATTATGGTACGTAAGACTTTATAAGTGTTTTGTGACAAGTCTGTGTTAAAACTATAATTGGCATCTAGATTCTAGATTGTACGAATAAATGAAAATCAGTAGATATGTGTTCGTTTATCACGGTGTTCGCATATCACGTTATTCATTATTAGGTACTCATTTATTACCTAGTATTTTATACCAGCATTTTTAAAAATCAAGTTTTATTTCACAATAGTTTAAAAATATCCAAAATACATGCAATAGTATCCTCCGTCCATCATATTAATCATTAATCAATATAAGGTACCTACCTATATTAAAATTTGTATACCCGTGTTTAAATTATTTTTATAATGTTTATATAGGTACCTACTTATTTTTTAGTTTTTTATTATAAAAATTGTAATATGTTTTATGAATTTTTCAAAAATAATATAAAATTGTAGCTACATATATTTAAGCATATTTTGAAAATCTTGACTGCATATTTCGATAGTTTTTAGTGCAACAAGTCAAGTCCCAAATCCTAAATTTATTTATATACGAAAACTGTAAAAACTTGGTTTTAATCTATACTTAAACACCCCCCATTTCATAATTCTGGCTACGCCACTGGTAAAGACTAAAGTTGTATAAGTATGGTTCAGTTGTATAAGGTGTATGCACGGACTAAGATATTTTCTTAGTCCGTGGGTGTATGGTTTTAATACGAATTCTAAACGAAGATACTGTTACAACATACCTATTCTGAACATCATGCGTTCATGCTGAGCCACCGGCAAAATGTCAAGGTCAACTGAAATAATCTCCATTGAACAATGGGACTTTGATAACTATCGCTTATTTGATGTTCTACATGGCACGACTTTACAGAATACATTAAATATTTAAATCAGGAAGAAAACTCTGGCCGTCTAAATGATTGTGGTCCGCCATATTGAAAACGCTCCTCAGATTTCCAAAGATAGCAAAAAAAAAAAAAAATGGTAAAAGAACGTTTCGCCCCCGTCAAAAAAGCGAGCCACGGACGTTTAGTCTCCTTCTATTATTAAGATGGGACATTTGGCCCCCTGGAGTTATGTGATGTTATTTACCTACCCAAAGGACGTTTGGTCCCGGGTATTTTAAATCACTACATTTAAATGGCTTTTATTAATTTTAAATTTATTGCAATATAATTTATATTAATATGTGAGAATGGTCTACCAACAACTTTTAATAAAATTTCTAATTTCGATTTTTTTTCGATTTCTGCTCTAAGCTAAAAACTTGCATTTATAATTTATTCTCAGTTATTTTAACTATTGTCTCCATGCATCAAATTAACGATGGTAATTTTAGTCTTTCAATACTGTACGCTTACCGTTTGGGGTTTTACATATATTTATTTATTTAATAAATATTATATTATTATTATTACTATTATTGAAACTAATAACTTTTTTCAAAATATTATTCTTGGAAATTTCCTGACATGTGAAATAACCAATTTTGTTCTAGTTGTTCGGCGACAAAGACGACGACGATAAGGACGATAATACGAACTTCAGGGGGCTAAATGTCCCATCTCAATAATAGACGGGGACGAAATTTCCGCGAGCTCATTTTTTTTAAGGGGACGAAAGGGAGGGGGTGAAACGTCCGCGATTCAAAAAAAAATGTATATTATTATTGTGATGTTGGACTACTCTGTCTTTATTTTTCTTTTTTGTAAGCTAAACATAATGTAATTATGTATTTAATAATTCACACGTCTCGCAGGAAAAACTCTCACGCCCGCCCTGTAGAACAGTCGGATTTCCTTATTTTTTTTCTATTTAAAAGAAAGAAGAGAACGTTTCGAAGGTTGGATTAAATAGCACGATTTTCAAAATTATAATTATAGAAGCTAAAATATGCATTTGACTAATGCACAGTATATGTTTTTTTCAAAAGTATTTTTCTACCACTATTTAAAGTAAAATGAAAGTTCAGCCCTTGATCCGACTATTCTACATGACATGATAGTTTATCCTGTGAAGTCATTTTCGTTGATATAATAATACACCGTATCGATCCCCCCAAAATAGACATTGAGGTGTATTAGTGGAAAAGTATTATATAATTATGGTAGTTAGTAACTAAAATATAAAATATAATTAATTTTTAGAAAATATTTGATGGTAAAATCGGTTATTTTTTTAATATATTTTTTTGGAGTAAATATTAATTTGAAACAATAACTTTTTTCAAATTATACTTTTTGGGAATTTTCAGACATAAGAAAAATCTTCAATTATTTACTATCCATATAATTTTCATATTTTTTTTTATACTTTTAACTAGTATACATTTTTTCTTTTTCATATGTCAAGTCTTTCCGTTAGACCTGTATATTATATACTTACTTAAATTTTTTTTTTAAACGTCTTAAACCATGATTGAAACAAAATAAAGGAATACCATATATAGATAATTATTTTAGTGAAACAATATTACATATCGTAGTTCATGGCGGCATACCTTAATGTAACATTATGCTGTACTCCTTCATTTTTTTTTTAATATTTGTGCAGGCCAAGAACGAAACACTGCAATTTAAATGATTAGGTACAGTCACGGAATCGGGAATACATAATATCTTTTTGTTAGTTTAAAGTATTTTAATAAGTCAATATATTAATATGTATAATTATTTAAAAATATTTCAGTTGGTTTTTTAGCATTTTATACAATGAACTTTTATAGTAGAAGTTACATAAACATATTACACTAATTTACGAACATAAATATTATTTTTTTTTATATCTAATGTGTGGAAACATATATTAATATACATATATATTTATAAGGATTACATTTCTAAGGTTATACAATAGTTAAAAGGTTTTACAACAGTTTAGGATAGAATCATCATATCTAAATCATCGTCAGAGTCAACATCTGCATTCCTAAATAACATATAATTATCCATATCTATTGTCCGGCAGTTGTTAATAGCATACTTGAGCTTTTCTTCAAAAACAGCACGGCTACTGTAATCAGTTAACCGCAGTTGAAAGAAGCATGTCTGAGCTGTGGGTAAACCATCTTTTTTATCTTCAACTTTGATGATCTAATAATTTAAAGTATTTATTACAATTATTATTATTTATGAATGCATATCATTGGTTCAGTGAAATTATATATATCACTTATAATAATAATAATAATGGAAACATTAATCATACACTACTTTTATATAATATAATTTAATATGTAAACTATTAACTTAAATTAAATACTTATACATTATAAAATTCACTACTGTTTTTTTATAACCGGCACCACCTTATATTGACCTGGCTAATAAATAGTTTTATATTCATTTTACTCAAGTATATAACAATACTAATAATTCAATATTTTGAATGGAAAATAATATCTAGATAAATAGCAATAGCGTATTGATAAATAAATTCATATAGTCATACCTATATATACCCATTAAGGATTAATTATTTTTTAACAAAACTAAAATATTACACATTTATTCTGAAACTCACACTTATTGTCTCAAGCTTAAATGTATATATATATACATATACAGTGGAAGGAGGTATATTTGAATCACGAGATCCACAAAAATATTAATGGGTTGTTGTCCTATGATTGGTAAAAGTAATTTGAATAAATTTCAAAGGTTATTTAACCACTAACAACCTATGAATTCACTATTTTGAAAGCTGTAAAAATTGAAAAAAACGTTTTTGGTTGTTAGTGTAAAAATATTAAATGTAAGACAAGGAAAAGAAAGTTAAAGCCACCACTGCATTTAATATTTAGTGAAACCTCTAAATACCGGTGAATATTTGTTGAAATGTTGTCCGTTATTCGGAGATATCTGCTATTCAGAGGGTTCTATTATAGAAAGTTTGTAGTTGGTTCCCAAAAAAACATCCACTATTGAGAGGTATCTGCTATTAGGAAGTGTCTGTTAAGGGAGGTTTCACTTTATACATATATTTGTAGATATGCAAATTTAAGCTTGAAACAAGTGTGAGTTAGCATGGGCAAACAAAATTGATTAATTGAATTATCCTAGAAATAACTATGAATTTAGTTATCGAAACGTTCTTGGTATTTACCTAGATATAATTAGTGACGAATCATCGCCACACAAACACGTGTTCCTCAACCAACAGTAGCCCCCTGCAAAATGCTAATAGCCATGGTAGCTGATGCAAGATCACCACTTGCCCGCATTTTATTTATTTATTAAATGTTTTAATTGTTATTGGGTAAGTGTAATAAAAAATAATACATTTATCAAAAAAAAAATTTTTCTAACATGTTCAAATATGTATATTTTTGCAATATTTTTTTATTATAATATAGTAAATAAATAATCCATTGATTTAATTGATACCCGGTTTTTCATATTAAATGGATAATGCTTATTAATTGCATATTTATCAAGTGTTACTTACCATTACTACTTAAAAATTACTAAATTTTTACATCAGACAAAATTTAGTTTTAAAAATTTCAAAATTAGTATAGCAATTTGTTGATATTTCAAGGAAAATATATTGAATATTAAACTTTATAATGCAAATAGTTGATTCATAAAGTATATTGCATAGGTATTATTAATTAAAACATAATCTACATAATATTATCTTCTAAATTAGATATATTCAAAAAGTTTACCTGGAAATGTTGAGAAAAATCTGATAAGTTAGATGGAAGGCGTGATCGTCCACAAACAAATCGTAAAAATAACACTTTTTCAGAATCCATAAAACTATTTAAAATGTCCCATAACCATTGGACAACTTGAGAGTTTTCATCCATTTCTCTATACCTGTAAAAAATGTTTATGTACTATAATGTGGAAACGAAACACTCTTATTGGGGGCAAGAGAAGGCTATAACTTAAAATTCTAAAAATTTTAAATACAACTTAAATAATCAGTTTAATATGTACATTTTGTGTAGAAATCAAATAAAAAAATGAGGAAATCTACTATACTTATCAAATTATTATATAGTAGTGCACACAGTGTGACATATGTTACAGATGTATAGTACATAAAGTTATTTTTATACTATAAATTATAGATTCTTTTGAAAGGTTAAGGCTTATAATTCATTAAAAAATGGAAATTTTAATCTATAAATGAGAAAATGAGAACCTTTGATACCAATGATCTCAGAAACCAGTGAACCACTTATCCGATAGTAATGCAGGTTTTTTTTTAAATTATAGAGTATATTGTGGAGAAGGTTGTAAGGTTATTTCAACCCCTATAGTTATCAAAAGCTCACACTTGATTTTTTTCGAAAAAATAATATTTGATATGAAAGAAGAAGCAAAAACATCAACAAAAGTTACCAGGTACTTTTTACCAAAACTGTTACAAATCAGCCAAAAGAGATACTTGGACATGAGTCCATATGAATTTAAAAATAAATAAATTATAACGTAAAAATTCAATAAAACAAAATTGAAGAAATCAAGGGAGTGAAATTCGTCCACGGTTATTAGCAAGGCCGTATCTGAGGGGGGTCCACGGGGTCTGGACTCCCCCTGAAATTTCTTCAATATGTCTTATTTATTTTTTTTAACCAAATTTCAAAACCTAATTTACAATATACAAGTTTGGGACCCTCCCCTCCCCCGAAAAAAAAATCTGGATTCGGCCCAGGTTATCAGGGACGGCTTGAAGGTGTTAAGGCTTCTCACGGCCTTTTGCAAAAATATATTATTGGATCCATAGTTCATCAATCTAATGATTAGGTTTAAAATTGGATCATCTCTGAGGCCCCAAATATCTAACCCCCGTGAATAAGCCCCGCAAAAACATTTCGCAAATAGCTCTGATATTCACTAAGCTGTCCCAGACAGTAATAAAACTAATAATGTATGGGAAAGTTGGAATTAAAGAGTTTCATACATGGTTGGACAAAATCATACAACTAATTTCAAACTTATAACTAAAATAAGGTATTAAATAGCTGCAGAAAACGCAAAATTAACATAAAATAAACTGGTAAGCAATCAATAAAAAGATTAGATTAAATTTTTTGATTATTTTGGAAAAACAATACAACTAGAAGTTTTTAAATGCTATAGCTAAAAATATTAAGTGACAGAGATCATAATTTTATTTTTTATAATTATTAGCTATTATTAACTACAATTTAATTATAGCTAAAATATAAAATGCGAAAACCGATAACTGTACTATTCAACATTTTTACTATCTATGAAATTTTTTTTACCATGATACTGTTATAGATTTATAAATAATATGTAAAATTACCTAACAATAGTTTTCAAAACTGGTATAGATATATTGGGTAGTCCGCATATCATACGTTCTAAATTTTCGGCAGTTTGAAACGTAAGTAATGGTAGAGGTACTAATGCAGAAAGACCTCTTCTCACTGCTAATATTTGTTCGTCCATTTCATGAAACCTTTGTTTCAGTGCTAATTCGCAAAATGTTAATCTATTGGAATATGTAACTGATACATAATGGCCATTTGGAATTAATGGCACAGTGTTATCCATCCAATCAGTACCAGTCATATTTAAAAAAGGTATTGCCTGAAAAAATCAAAAATAATTAATTATTTTAGAAGTCAAATATGCAACTACTATTCTCACCTCTTCAAAATTCTCTTCAGTAACTCCAGTTTGATGTATATTTTGTATACTTGTCAAATTTTGTGCATAATAAGTATCATTTTCTTCTAAATCTGACATATTTAATGATTCTCCAATAATCATTTTCCAAATCAATGGTGATAAAGGAAGAGCTAAGGGTTTCTTTGTTCTAATAGCAACGCCAAAAAGCATTCCTGATAAATAAAATTAAGTAAATTAAATAAAGATAAATTAAATAAATAAATAAAAATCACATACCAAGGAATTGAAATTGTTGTAGCTGTTTAAAATGGTTCATTTTTGAATTAAATATAAATCGATCTTGATTATAACCTGTTTCATTTCTGCCATTTGGTGTCAAAATAAGTAATTTTACAGTCTGTGTTTGAAGTTCTTCCATCATCTGGGCAATAGTATCATCAAATACACCTCCTGCATCATCTGCTCCTTCACCCACTAATTTCACCTATAGTTTATTCAGAGATTATATTCATTTGTAATAACTAATAAATTAATAACTATCAACCACCAAATTAAATTAAATAATATATTGAAATTAAAAATTTTGATTCATCAATACCATAAGTTAGTATTGCCAAACTTAAAAATGTATTTATAGCTAATCAGTAGGGTTCAGAAACTCAGAAGTTATAGGAGCTAAAATAATAAAATACATACACATAAAAAAACTAATATTTACAAAAAAATATATTCATAAAATTATTAACCTAATAATTTATTTATATATTAAATATTACCTATTAACATTGCTGTATTCTTAGTATATTACCATAATAAAAACAAACATTATTGGTAATTACCTAAATTGTATCAATAAAAATATATTGAAACAAATGCACTTTACCACCCCCATGCAAATATTTTGATTTTTTTTTTCGGAACTTACTTATGTAAAACTATTTAAGAACAATCAGAATTTGTTAGTCGGAATTATATTTTTTTAGTAATCAGTTTTTAAATGTGCGATTTTGTGTTTTTTTAGGGATATCCACAACAGTATAGTTAAAGTATAGGGAGCAAGTTAGAGTATGACAAGTAGTCGCTCCCTACGACTACCGGCTCTGGTTGCCAAACTCAAGGGACCTCCCTTCGTCAGGCTTGAAAGTTGAAGTAACATAAGTATATAGTGGCTCCCTTTGCCTGCCAAATCTAAATTTGATACATGTATAAAATATGCATTTAAAATTTTCGATTTTTGAACTTGTCATTGTATAAAATGAATTTCTATCTTGGTCTGCTATAAACAGAAAGCATATAGAAAAATATGCACCTCCTCCAACTTCCAAGCCTTAATAATCAGCATAATCTTATAAGATTTATAATAATTTACCACAATATTTATAATATTTCATGATAGATATAAATTATATCATATTAATTATTGTTTATTACTTATAAAACAAAAATGAAATATTTCTTCAATTTATGATGAAATATTAGAAGTTTATTAATAAAAAAAAAGTAACTTTAAATGTTACTACCTTCCAAGCTCTAGATGGGAGTCTGAGTAGTTCTGCATTAATGTTGACAATTTGTTTGGCAACTTGTTCAAAAATACACATACTAGTACCATTACTACTCAAACGTTTGACAATTATTTGAGGACCATAATTTTGACCTTGATTCATTGTACGACTAATAACTTTCATTAATGGTAATTTTATGATTTTGTTTGTATATAAACATTTAAGCCTTTTATCTGCTAACCAATGCCAACGTTTGATGTTACTCCAATCAAATTCCTACATAAAGTGGTTCAAACAATTAGTAAACTTGATTAGAGCTAGATAAGTACAATAAGTTCAATTACTCACAGTAGTATTAAATGGAATCATTTGCCAACATGTATACAAAATATTTGAAAACTGTTGTAAGCATTTCATTCTAGCAGCGATTGATGCCATTTTATATTCTTGTAAATATCCATATTGGTAAGGAATTGATGTTGGTAAATCATTATGAGAAATATTTGTAGAGTCTCTTGAAAATGGCTCTGCTGTCCATGCAGCACAATGAGTACGACTAGTTGCAATCTTAAATAGAATATTAAATATTAATTAATAATTATTTATTAAGAGGATGTCAGCACACTATTGGTTTTCTCTCTTTGACCCCCGCACAACATAGCAATTTTTACGTTCACAATAAAGAAATTATTCTAAAATTAGAGCAAAACTACTTTTTATAAAATTTAAAGGTTAGATTCAGGGCATCTCAAAGGCGTTTTATTATATTTTAATTTTAAAGCAAGTTATGAATATTTTCAGATTTACAATTTACAATTTTAAAATACTCTTAACTCGCTTTAAAATTAAAATATAATAAAACGCCTAAGTAATAATCTTACATTTACCTTATTTTATAAGAGGCCATTAGAGGCCACTATAATTTTAAAAGTTATTATGATTACAACCATTATAGTGAACTTAAAATTTTGTATGTTGGGAGTGGGTCAGTGTGAGAAAACAAATAGTGCGATGACATCCTCTTAACTATAATTAATATTTATTTTACTTGTTTGATATTTTTGCCAGATAAAATTTGAATAATATTAGGCTTTTGGACAGGTAAATCATGACCAAATCCAAGAATACCTTCACAGTTATTACCCCAAGCCCATACATCACCACGAGCAGTCAATACTAATACATGATCTGGACCTGTAGCAACATCAGTAACAATTTGGCTTTCGAATTCATATATCTATAAAGTAAAAATAAATTTGAATAATAATAATTACTTCAATACAATAGGTTATATTTACTTTTTCAGGGATCAATTTTTCAGTATATAAAACATCTGTTGTATCTTGTAAATTATCCGATCCACATGAATAGAGTTCACCATCTTCTGAAAGGAACATTGTAAAGCCATTTCCACAGAATGCTTTCTTAATATTTTTTCCATTTAGTGTACTGATTGCCTAGTAAAAAAATTTTAACTCTAATTTAAGATAATTCTTTACTAAAGTAGGAGTACCATGGTTATGACAAATGCTTACTTGTGGAATATAAATATCTTTTTTGCTTCCAATTCCTAATTTACCACCTTCACCTTCCCCAAATGCCCAAACAACATTTTCTCCAATACAAACAGTATGATTTTGTCCACATGCAATGTATTTTATATTCAAGAAACCTTTATGAACAATTTTTGTCGGACGTTTTTTGTTTATATGTCCGCCTAAACCTAATTTACCATGTTCAGCACTTCCAAATACATAAACTTCACCATCTTGGGATAATACAGCACTGTGTTTATGTCCACAGGCTACTTGAATAACTACTACATCATATAGAGATTCAATAAGTTTTGGCTTTCTCTGTCGCTCATTGTTACCATGTCCTAGTTTGCCAAAATCACCATCTCCCCAAGAAAAGACTTCTCCAGTCTCTGTCAAAGCTAAGCTATGTCCATCCGAACCAATAGATGTAGATACTTGAGTTATTACAAATCCTTGTAAAGCTGATATCATGGTTAGATTGGGAAGGCTATCGGAATGTCCATGACCTAGACGACCATAATTGCCTTCGCCACATGATAACACTGTTCCTTGACTAGTCAAAACAAAAGTGCAGTTTTGCCCACAAACAATACGTTGAGCAATTTTAAAATTCTGAATTTTAATAGGTGACCATATATTAATACATTGACCAACAGCTACAAAACACAATAAAAATAAATACAGTTTTTTTTTTATTTATTCTCAACTGATCAGGATCAAGGTCTTGTTGGATCTTGATGACTTGCTATTTTATAATATCAGACAATTTCATAAAATTTGTTTCTATGAACAAGCATTGATAATTTATTTTTATTTTTATTTTATTGACATAAATATAGTTAACATTTTGAAACTTGAGTCATTAATCTGAGGGAACAAAAACATATAGATTGAGGTTTTTTGTGTAACCATAGACTTCTATTCTATCAAACATAACAAATTTTATAATTTTGTTGATTTTGATTTAAAAATACAAGTATCTTTTAAAAAAGTTTAGAGCTAAGAAATCTTTTAAATGAATTTTCCAAGTTGTATTCAGAGCATCAAGATCCAGACCCTTAGTTATTAATTAGGTAATAATTATTACATAATATACCAGTATCACCCAATTGTCCATTTCGACCATTACCCCAAAGGTATGCATCACATTTGGTATATGGTTGCCAATCATGAGGAGTTGTATTAAACCATTGAATAATTTGCTGATCAGCTTCTATAGTCCACTTATTGTTGCTAATAGCTTCAGACCATAAATTATGATCATCATTTTCTTCTAAATAATTTTTAATATAAAAATACATATTTATATGAATGTAAGTATAGGATTTTAAAATAATTATAAATACAATGTACCATTCAAACCAGATGAAAAGTAGCTTATAAACGTCTCAGGGAAATTCTTTCTTGTTAATAAGGCTTTAGCAGTATTCAAAACTGTGATTAATCTTTGTAGCCATTGCCATTCTTCGTCTGTTTTAAGAGTAAATTAGAATTAGCTTTTAATTTCAAAATAATAATAATTAACATACGAAATTCAATGCTATGACTTGTATTTGGTGGTACAAATGTAAAACTAAACGTTTGATCTGGCCAAATTTCCAGTGCAATCCCAATGAGTCCTTTTAAATAATCACTATATAGAAGCCGATCTCCCATTAGCACTTTGTGTTTCTCATGGTTCATTTGCAATTGAAGTAAGTCAGGTAATGAGTTAACAAATTTACGAAAGTATTTAACATTATGGAGTCCACGACGATACAAAGCACTTCGAGCATTTGATTTAAATCGATTATGTGTAAGATTATCAGCACTAAACTTTATGACGGTTACATCCTTAAATTCATATGAAACATACATGTAAATTAATAATAATAATATTAATTAATTATAGACTTAAAAATAGGAAATAATTCTAATTACCTTTGATCGAGCAAAACAAACAGCAAGTCCTAGTTGGTCCTCCATCCAGCATAAATCATCTACACCACCGGATCCAGTATGCGTGTTCAACAAACTGCCATCAAAGAGCGACCAAATATTTACTACACCACTACTTCCTTTGCTACAACCTGTTGCCAGTACTAAGCCACTCTCGTGGATACTCATTGAAGTAACAGAATTAAACATGTGTCCTTGGAATGAGTATAGTACTCTGGGTTTTAATTTAGAAAATGGAGTAGGTATTAACCAAACATTAATGGAACCAACAGCAGTACCAACACAAAGTAACAGTCCTTTATTACCTATAAATACATATACAAATAATTGTACATGGAATATTATTAAATATAACAAACATAATAATAATCATTTAATATTGACTATTGTCTTCCTTACCCACAACAGGTGACCAAACCACACAAGTAGGCTCATTTGAATGATTCAGTTTATGAAATATTTCCCAACTATTTTGTTTTTTAATCCAAAGTCTAATGGTTGTGTCTTCTACATTGCTTACAGACAGTATGTCAAACATTTTAGACCATTGCAGTGTAGATATAGGACTCTATAACATATTTTTTATATTATTAACAAGTTTTTTTTTTCAAGTATTCTCATTTATTTACTTCACAAATTGTTAATGTCTGAGATTCAGTTATTGGTTGAATATTACCCACTGTAATGACACCAGAAGAAAATGCTATAGCAAATGGAACCAAATCATCATGCCATGCTATATGAGAAACTGGAACTATAAATATAAATAGGTATAAGAAAGTTTTTATTGAAAAATGTATACAATATATTTATTTTGTACTTAAACATTACATTCGGAAATGTACATAAGCTTACACAATTATTCATAAATTGTATAACATATCCAAGCACAAGTTTATCTATTTTGTTTAAATATTGCTAGTAATACTAAGCATAAAACATTAGGTACATTATTTTTGTACAAACCTCCAGGTCGGCAAAAATTATCAAGTTTCTCATACATGACTTTATTAAGTGAATCAACAATAGCTATATTCACAGAACCATCAACACCTCCAACTAACAAATACTGAGGATAGAAATTATAAGAATTTTTTATTGAAATTCCAGACCATGCTATAGCTGTTATCCAAGCATCTTGAGTATATGTTGATAAGCAAGTTTCATCTTCTTGAAAAACATCTGTACATAAATAATATAATAAACAAAATAATTTAAAAAAAAAATAAAAGTACTGACGTCTTTGAACTGTATAAATATTAAGGGTTCCTTCCATTGATGCAGCAATACATAATCCAGAAGGTGACCATGCAAGCTTTGATATCAATTCTCCATTTAAATCATTACCATAGATTTGTGTGGATTTAAAAAACATAAGTGTCGTCTCTAAGCTTAATTCAGTATTCCATAACCTCATAGTTCCATCAAATCCACTATTAAAATAAAACTCATTTTAAATATTGAAATAAATGTGTATGTTCTGAAGAAAAATGATTACTCACGAAGATGCAAGTGATTTTACTTTCGGTTGCCATATTACATGATTTATACGGTTCTGGTGACCTTCCAGTTTCACTATTGGACGTCGTTTTAATGCACCCGGAAAATCAGATTCATTTGGTAAAACTAATTGTTTTCTATGTAGAGATTTATTAACTAATATATTTACCTAAAATAAATCATTTAATTTCACTATAGTATTTATAATCAATGGTAATAGTATAATTTATGATTTTATCTTCAGTCCAAGAAATTTATTCTTTATTAGTACAAACATTATAATGGAAATACTTAAATAACAAATCTTTTTTACTTAATATATTGTTTAAAACAATATCAATTTAGACCAGGGCTCCTGTCAAACTTTGTTTATACATTATAAACCAACTATATGCTGGATCAACTGTCTAAATGTTATGAGTTCAAAAGTCATACATAGTAAACACTTGATTATCCGCGGAATAGGGTGCCACCAAATACAAATTGAAACAAATATGGTATTGTTATATTATTAAAAAAATTATACTATGTAATATTAAATAATAAATATAAAAATTATATATAGTACTGTAGATAGTTCAGGTGGCAGACCACGGATAATCAAGAGTTTAATGCAATTCAAAGTCCTTATATATAAAATATGTAAACAGAAGTTCATGTGTTAAAAAATGGTGTCTGAAAATGTACTTAATCAAAAACTATTTATAATAATTATATTATTAAAAAAAAAAAAACAATAAACCTAACTTTTAATTGCTCAGTAGATCTTTACCCCTGCCATACAAAAGAATGATCCCAGGGACTTTGAATACACCAAATAACACTAGTAAAAAATATATACAATTAACTTACTAGTTGCTTACAAGCCCAATGTTTAATATCATTACTAACAACATGAGACAATAAACATGCAGATAATGCATTAATAAGCATTTTAACTGATGGTTTATTATCGTTTTCAATTGGACTTAATGCTCCCGTTTCATCTGAAATTTTTTTATATTTTATTCAAAATATTTATTTGTAGTAAATAAAACATATAATAGATTTGTAACTCACCATGCTTTGAAAATATATTAAGTTTTTTTACAAATTCATTTACAATTAATTTGGTAACTTTTATATTATGTTGCATTTTTAAATTTCCTTCACTTGCCATGGTAAAAATATCCTTAAAATAAAATAAAATAAAATTTTTATTCTTATACATATTATAATATAGTATAATGCTTGAGTTAATATATACATTAAAAATAGATACATTACGTGTTTGAAACATAGTAATTAGGATTAAATTTCTTTTATATATATTTTAATTCTTTATTGTTTTTATTTGTTTGGTAAAACTTAACAAAATCTATATAAAGGGGCAGTCTAAGTGGGAGTTTAAAGGATTATTTTTATTGTCAGCACATTCACATATTAACGATTATAAATTAATATGAACAATAATGAATTCTTAAATTAAATGATTGACCTAACAAAGTAACTACATATTGTGCACATTAAATGTATTGAAAATATCTTTATGAAACTGGAATGTGATCACAACATTTTATTTTACATTTCGATTTTAAATAATAATTCTCTAAACATTACTTATCTTAAATTATAAATGTTGATGGAAATTTCTATTTTTTTTTTTAGTTATATACATTTAGGAACTTTTATTAATTAGTAATAATTACTTAGTGGACATTACAAAAATATGAAGTTATTATAATATGAATATTAGTACAAAAAAAAAAATTTATATTCAAATAATGAAGCTAAAATATTTTAGGAAAATCAATGTCTTAAGCATGAATATAATTTTCAATTTAACTTGAATCACTGTAAAATAATACATTTTTTAATAAATATTTAAAAATAAAACCCTATATTAATTCATTACTAATCTGATCTTATCAGACACTAATTACTTGACTAAATAAACTCTTTAAATTGAATTATTATTTAAAAAAAAAAAAATACTTCAATAAGGTACATTGTTATTTAATTAAATCAATAAAGGTTAGGCTTGGTTGGATAAACTAGTATGTATTAAATAATTGACGATTTAATACATATTTTTATCTTACTATAACTTACTATAACACATTGAATGTTGGTGTCTATTTAGATTTAAAAATTAATTTATTGTGGAATTTTAGTGGTAAGAGTTATACATTTGGTGTGTAGTTAGAAAAATGTATTTAGTTGGAATTTGTTGAGTTTAAGTTATCCCTAACTGACCCCTCACATACCTATATTACTTAATGCCGTCCAAGTGTATCATTTTTTTATTAATAAATTATTGATGTTCAAAATTTAGGCAAATAATATATACTTAAGATACAAGAAAAATGTGATGCAATTCCCTTTATATGGTCGAATTAAATAATTTCATAACTAGTAATTTCACATAGTTGAAAAAATGTTTGAGGACCATTTATAAAAGGCGAAAAACATACAATTTTTGGAGTATACTTTGAAATTATATATGATAGCTCCAACTTTCATTCCATGATAATTTTTTTGTTTTTGATGATTTATCAATGTTTTATATTCAATATCATAATATAATTTATTTTATAAAAGTATATGCATCAAACTACCACATTCCCGTCTTTTACTAAACAAATCATTTAAATGTATGTATATTGTATAATTTACAAAATAAACTTACTTGAACTGGTATGGATATTGCATAATTATAAGCTGGTCGAAAATGTTCAGCTAATGCTATTATTATGTTTGATAATAGTCCTAGAACATTTTTTTCTAATTTATTTGGCAACATTTCATTTTCGTTGTATTCTCTATCAGTCCAAACATTCATAATAAGTAGAAGTCGTATAAATTGCACTATTTTGGGTACATTTGTAAAACCAAGCTTATCTAGTTTCCATGCAACTATATCTTCACTTTCAAATGTCCAGTGAATAAGTGACATTAAAATATTTATGACAATATTTCTAGATACTAAGTGTGACATAGTATGAAATACTCGATTAATAGCTTTTGTACGTTCTTCTGCTGATGTCATAAATGCCGCCTCCAAGGTCAAATATTTAAATATAGGAGAATGTTGAGATATTTTTTGAGAACCACCCTCAATGCTTGTGAGGGATGGAACAACCTCCATTCCAAGTTTGTCCATGCTATTATCTTCTACACTCTCAGGCTTAAATTTACAGGAGTTCAATTGTTCAAAGATCATATCCATATCAAATGGCTTATCAAGATAATTATAATGATCCATTAATTTAGAAACTAAAATGAAAAAATTCATTAATTATAAAATTATAATAATAAATATTATATTATATAGCTTAAGCAAAATAAAAACATAAATACCATATTACCATAATATAACTGGGGCAAGTAAATATTTTTAAATAAAATTTACTGGACGCCAATTTAAAGATACAAATTTCAATTAAGACTTTCAACATTCCAAAATTAGGTAAAACATAAAAAAACCAGATATATAACCATAATAACATTTGCAGAAATCCGGGGGGCTGAGGGGGCTTAGCCCCCTCTCAAAAATCTGTTAAGCCCCTTTTTTTTAGTTTTGTAGGATCAAAGCCCCCCTTTTACCCCTTCAAAGTTTGTATTTAATATTAATCTATAAAATATAACAAAATAAAAATACCTTGAGTGAAATCGGATGTTAGAGATTTTTTGGGTTTAACAAAATCAGAAGATATTAATTTTTCAATTTTTTCTTGGCAATTTACACAAGAGGCATTAACAGCTGCAATAAATAAATACAAATTAAGTATAATTTATATATTATCTCATAGTTTAAAAGTCCTTACGAGATCTAAGTATTTGTGAACTTTCTGGTTCAGAATCAATTATCTCGGTCGGTACTCGAAGCTCTGTAACATTGAATCCTGAGTTTCGGTTCGTTGAAGGCAAAACCACACCATCAATACGAGGTGGAAAAGGATTGAATATCTCTACATTTTCTACATTTTCTAAATTTGGAGTATGTATACGTGGAGGAGTTTCCTAAATAAATAATAAATACATATAATATTATACAGTTATCTTACATTTATTTAAATGCAAACTACATTTTTAATAATATAAGATATTTAAATAAATATGTATCCACGTATTTTTTGTTATATATCAGCGATCTCTCTCAAATTATCTACAGGCCATATATTTTTTCAAAAAAATTTTAAGTGTCCACTTTTTTTCCTTATACACTAAAAACCGAAGATAAAATGAAGGCAAAGATACACACAAAATCTATTTATCCAAAAGACTTAATATATTATAATATTACTTTTATCATAATTACTATTACCAAAATTATTTAAAAAATATAAACCAAGTAGTTGTTTATTTCCCTTATTAAAAATTACAAAATTATTATTGAAAAAATATGATGAACATTAATTAAAAAAAAAAAAATTAGAATTAAAATCTAAAAATATCTTGATTATTTGTTTATTTTTAAATTTGAGCTGCACTTGAAACTTGACATCTTTTCTTTTGTACTGTAACGAACATGTCGTCATCGACATCGTACATTACTCCTAGTATGCCGAGTAAGGAAAAATATGAAATATATATTATGCTGACGCGATGTTTAGCTGACATCACGTCAATAACCGACCAGAACTCCTGGCGGAAAATGGTCTACTTGCTTTACATAAGGTAACCCTGATCCCTAGCAATAATGTCACACACCGAGGTCGAGTTTCCGAGACCTCGTTAATATAAACAGAACTACACCGAGGGGTGCGACCCCCAGGTGAAGAGGAGACGTTACAGTACCAAGCATAATTTGACATTTTGAATTTGATTGCAACTTTAGAAATTTTATGAGAGAAAATAATTGTTCATATACATAAGAGTTACTGAACATGTTTAAAATGTTAGAAAAGTGTTTCTTTAGTTTTGGAGAACTGTTTCCAAGATATTTAAACATTTCTAGAATTCGAACAGTTTCAATTGATTTTAAAACAGATATACTTTGCAAATCAATTAACTCGAGTTGTAAATCTTCCCTCAATTGTTCTATATTTATAGTAAATTGTTCACTAAAAAGTAGAAAATCATCTTTATACTTTTGAAAATCTGCATATCTGTTCATAAATTCATTTTTTAGTAATTAAGTTTGTGAAATGTATTTTTACTATCATTACTATCTGTGGATAACTATTTTAATGTAGGAAAGTGTTCAAAGTTATTCAATAAAAGTTTCATCATAAATTAATGAATTGAGTAGTACATATTTGTGATAACTTGGATTTTTCCTTGTAATTTTAGGTTGAGAATATTTAAATATGTCGTAATATCAATAAGGAAAACAAAGATCTATATTCCAATTATTATTATCATTATTAGTTAATTCTTAAACAATCTTGAAACAAATTATATTTATCTTTGTAGATTAGATTTGCCGCATTTCAAATACTTTATCGAGGATAATGGGATTTCTGAACGATAAATGTAAAAATAAAACATTATGAACGTCATATATTCTGTCTTTATAATGCGTAAAAAAAAAAATTAACATCTTTACAATTCTTTCGTATATTTTTGTTCAAAATATATATTTATTGCGGGCCAAATGGAAAGGGTACGTGGGCCACATGTGGCTCGAGGGCCGTATTTTTGAGACCATTGTTATATATCATCATGTTACATTGTAATTATATTGCTATCTTACCTTGTATGTTAATCTACCTAATTGTACAAAGGGCTCAGCTCGTATATTTTATAATAAATAAGTACATAGAAGTAGATATTTAAATAAAAAAGAGGAAGGGTCAGACACAAAAAATGAATGTACATTAGTCTTATAAACAGAGCTAGATTTAGAGGGTATAGATCCCAGGGCCACCAAAAAACTACAAAAGTATTTGTTTCCTTTGCTAAACATAATATTCAACAGAGAACTGTATATTATTACAAACTTAATACCTAAAAATTCCATGGTGGCTTAAAAAAACAATGATAATTTTATTATATTTAATAAAAATATGATAGTTGCATAGCAATAGAATAAGGTTTCAAAATCACAAAATTAGATAACCAAAACGCACTACAAAAAAGATTTATGTATAGTTGCTAAACAATGACGTATAGAAAAAAAATACTATGGGTCTTTTAGAATATGGGTAAAGTGGCCTAAAACAAAACTAAATCTGGCCCTACAAATAAATATAAATTAAATACTCATAAGTCATACCTTTAAAAATTGCTAAACCATAAACATCAAAGAGAAAGAATTTTTGAAATAGTACCAAAGGGAGAGGATTCCAGCCCACATAGCCTCCCTTGAATCTGCCCCTTTTAAAACATAATTTTTAGATATATTTAATTACCGACGGAGATTCAGGTTGCTCCACATCTGAAGCAATTGAAACCATGCTTGCAATGGCTCTGTTCATAGGATCATCAGTCATATCATCATCTACCAGTAAGTTTGGAGTTCTATAGATTGTGTGGTCTGTAGATAGTTCTCTAAGACGTCTTCTAGGAGCTATCAGTCTTCTTGGAGCTAAATCTAAAGGACTGTCATCAAGAGGATGTTCTGAACGAGAGCCATAATATGGCATTCTTACAGCTGGAGGATGCAGTAGCTAGAAAGATACTTGGTTAACATTAGTAAAAATATGTTATTGATTTAACTTACTCTAGTTTCTGTATTACTATCTGAGCTTGCAAAATTAGTTTCTTGTATGCATGGATGTTCTATCATCCAAGTTGCCAAACTATTTATAGCTACATTCCGTGGCATTGTTTCCCAAATGTTACCTAAGAAAAATAAAAATAATTTTAAAATTAAAGAATATTAAAAAAAAATATCAGGAAAACTTAAATAAATACCTAAGGCAGCAATAGCTCTTTGAACTAGCCTAGTAGAAAATCCCATTTCGATAAGAGGAATTGCTATGGATGGAATTCGTTCCCTATTTTCGCTAGGAACAATATTATTTGTATTATTCGTACTATTAGGACATATGTATATGGTGTTTGATCGATGTAACATATTACGCCGAGATCTTCCAATTCTTCTTGGAGTGTCATCAGCAGTTCTAGATGTCTCCCCGGAAATCTTAAAAATTAAGATAGTAATTTTAAATTCTATAAGTAATTATTTTTATTGTTATTTACAGATTCTCTTCGTTTCACAGTAGTACTTTCTTGAAAACTTATTAAAGTTTTTAAACGATTTTGTAAATCTGGTATTTTATATTTATTTTCAGCACATTCTTTGAGATAATTATTGTAAAGTATGTTTAATATTCTTTCAGATTCCATCATATCTGTTTCAATAACTAAATACTTTGAACATAAACTTTTTTCAAAAGCACATCTATAACATGAATTATAATTTGTATACATTTTATACTTAATATACAAACTAAGTCTTTTTACAGTATAGTATTTACTATTAACCTGAAAAGAAACATTAGAATGTTATTCATAGCATCATTTTCCTTAATGTTATCACGTTTCTTTTTATTATCACAGATTGCATTTTTATTAGCGTCTGTTGATTGTTTCGACTTTGAAGAAATGGGATTGACTAATATATCAACACACATAGAACTAGTCATTATAACTTCAAGACTCTTTAATGCAGTAGTCTGTAATGCGCACAGTTTAAATAGTTTAGTTTCATCAGCTAGAGAAACGTTATAAGAATCCCTGCAAATTGCATTAATAAAATATAATGAAATAAGAGTATTAGAGAAAGAAATTAATACATACTTGGTTGAAGTGTTTACTCCTGAATCTTTTGTACTACTTGAAGATGGGTTAGTATTTATTTCTGATAACTGATCTAAGATATTCATAACCATTAGATTAGAGAACAAATCCAATGAATCAACAGCATTTTCTTCATGACATTTATCAGATGTTTTATTAACTTGAGAGTTATTTGGAGGCATCAACTAAAATTACATTTTAGTTATTTAGTCTGAAATATTATTGAATTTTGTAAAATATGTATACTTCATTTGTGATGCCACTCAATCGCCCAATAGAATACAATAATAACGATGGAATATGTTCCAACCGTGTGGGATTAAATTTAATATTATTACACGGTAATAATGATTGAAATAATACATCACTATAAAACAAAAAATATATACATTACTGTATCGTCTGTATCAACCACACACTTATCAATAATTAATAAATATACTCAGGATATAGTAAGGTACAGAATTTAATATTTTATGATAGCTACGTGTACTTTATATTAAGTACGCATAATTATGTATATCTTAAAATGTGAATTAAAATGTTTGCACAACCTGACAGTATCATTTTTGTCTTCTCGCATTACTTTTGCTGTAGTGAAACCCTTTTTTAAAGTTCCCAATATGGTACCAAATGATTTTTGATCCAAATCATAACATCTTCCATCTACTCTTAGACCACGATCAAGGCCTCCGATTACTGCTAATGCAGGCCAAACTTTTTCACATAATGCATTTATATCGACCTCTTCAATATGTTCACAAATTGGTTCTTTTTGAATAGATCCAGATATATCTAATATTCTGTCTTTGAAATGTACTTCAGGAAGAACTCCTTTTAAAAATGAAAGTTGTTCTAAGATACACTCATTCACCTATTAAATTATTATAAATTAGATAATAATTTTATATCAATAAAATTTGGAATATATTTTTGAAATTAACACGTTGATTGCGTATGTCTTTTTACAGTTCTTGCCTAGTGAGTATGATAAAAGGAAAAACAACAGTCTTCTAAAAATAACTGCTCCTATATGGTCATACTTAATTTACTATTATTTTGAAACATGCGTTTAATCCACGCTAAATAATAATAAAGTAACATTTGGCCACGCGTTGGGAATAATAAACCATTTACTTTAAATATATATTGGACGCCAAATGGCGTGAAACGCATAACTGATTGATCGTCATAATGCCAATTGGCGTCAGTCCGCAGTCAACGTGTTAACTTTATAACATGGTTTTAGTCTGAAAGATGATTACATTTTAACAAATCTAATAATATCAAAACATAAATTTTAAATAATAATTTTTTCATACCAATAAAATAAAGATCAAAACAAATAATGATGATAATCATAAAAGTCACTAAGTTTAGAAATTTAACAAATTATATCAGTTAATACAAATATAATTTGTGTGATTAATAACAAATAATTACCTCAATTAACCACTGATCAGTGTTATGCAATATTCGTATTATTGCAATATAATTTTCAGTTATACATGTAAACATGGGTGCTAAATAAGGTTCTCCAACAAACAGTTCAGTGTTTTTATTTCGTTCGGCTCTATAATCACTTATTTTAATCTAAAATAATATATGAATTCATATTATGACTTTTAAACAAATATATAAAAGTTGTGTTATACTTTTTGTCCAGCGGCAGTACTGTAACATAATACACAAGGATAAAGTTTTGTTTTGGTATCTATGTTTTGAAATGCTACGACTGGATAATCATTATTTTTAGCAAAACTAAGAGTTCTTGATTCAGTATCAAAAATTGCTGTAATGTAGTCACCTTGAGTAAATGTTTTAAGTACAAGAGATATTTGACCACCATGATATAAAATACCACTACAAACAAATTGAAACATATTGATTATAATGAAATCAACTAACAAATTATAAGAAAATAAACAAATGTAGTTAAATGAAACTTGAATAATTACTTATACGCTCTGTACAGCCACATATCAGAAGTGGTTCTATAATTTTGATCTTTAATGGGATATCTTGATATTCCAATACACGAACCTTCGTTGCCTTTATGTTCTTTCAAAATAAAAAATTTCCATTGATAAATACCTAAAATAAAAATAAAATAAGTTTAGCCTGTAAGTCTAATTACAAACAAAATAGCTTAAAACACAAATGTGAATATTATGATACATCAATGCGCGATTCAAAATGTTTTTTTTCCATCCATAACCCCCCCCCCCATGATCTATACATTTAAAATATATGCGCAAAAATTGCTTTTACAGATGTATAGTAATACATTTATTAGTATCAAAAAAATATTTCTACTTATAAAAATAGCACACTTTTCAAATACAAAGAAATCATTTAAAGTAAATTATAAATTACTATATAATAAAATACCAAATAAAAAGTGTACATTTTAATTACATTTTAACATATTTAAATTTACCATTTTCAAAAGGAGTAGATCCAAGAGCATAAGCTCTTCCACCATGAGCATGGATAACTGTATGACTATTTTCAATGATACAATTGAAACTCTTTTCTTCATGAAATGAAAATGGTAACTCACCAATATCAATATTATGATTACTCATACTATCATTTGAATCTAAAAAAAACATATAAATTTACCAAATCGTAATAATTAAAGTTGAGATGACGTTATACCCCCATGTGTTGTCTCCGTCTTGAATTCAAATTTTTAAATTAACAGAGCTACACGTGTTTTGCTGAGCATACAATTTTCCATGTTACGCACTCGTAAGACGGAGACAGCACATGCGGGTATAACGTCCTCTTAAGCTAAATAATTTCTTACCATTTAAACATATGTTACCCATTTGTTTATCTAAGTCTTCTTGTTTCAAGTAAGCAGTTATATTTTCAACTTTTTGTGGAATTAACCACATATTAGTACCCAATTGTTCAAAAAGTGTCTTCACAATCTAAAGTTAAATGTATTCAAAATATCAGTGATTCAACAAATCATACAATCATCTGTACTTCTTGTATTTCCGCAAAAAGTTTTGTCAAGAAAATTAATTTTAAAAATTACATAATTATGTACAATAATATAAATTAAAGCTATCTCCCAATATATGTTTCATTATAGAAGGTTAGGTATAGAATGTTTATTAATTTAAGTAGCTTCAGGAGAAAAAACTTTATACATTTTTGGAAAACAAGAATTAAACTTAGTTTATTAAGTTTCTGGGATACTATAGTCCCCGCAACGAAAACTGTCCGGTGACCGGCGCGACTCTAGCGGCCATTTCCACTCAGTGGTCGTCATACTTCCAAAACTAATTGCCGAGTTGTGTAAGCGTCACAGGGGCGAGCGCAGTTTTAGAACCTGTGCAAAGTTCATGGCGGGTGTGTTTCGGTGGGTAACCGGCCAGTTTTCGTTGCACGGACTATCATAGTAAGTTTTACCACATAATTGCACAGTGTATATACTTGTCAATAATCCCTATTATCTTTTAACTAAATCATAACTAACAGACTTAAAAATTAATTCCTGAAATTGAAATTCAGAAATCCTGACCGGATAAATAATAAAAAGATAAAGGAGAAAATGATTTTAATTTAAACTTAAATAGACTACATTATTTTAAATAACTTTTTTTCATAAAAAATCATGCAGAAAAAGAAAACAGATGAAGATATTATAATGTTATGAAAACTATATTAATTTAAATTAATATAATTCAATACATACTTTTTTACGACCACTGTTGGATGATTTCAAATAGGGCAATATTTGACGTAATAATTTCAAAATTAAAAGTTTGCAGCGAAAATGTTCTGCTAAAAACATAGTACTAGAACATTGAGCTAGGCGTAGAAGAGTTTCAGTCCATTGGTGAGAACTTATACACAAAGGAGAAAATGATGTGCATTGTAAAACAAACGATAATAAATCACAAATATAACTTTGCACTGGATATGAATCTGGTGAATTTATCCTTAAAATAACATAGTTTATTAATTAAAAATATAATTTATATGATAAAACTACTGCTTTACTTACCCTTCAATTAGCATATTATTTGGATTTTCAGAAAAAGTTTGTTCCATAATAGAACATTGTCTCGAATTTATTAGTATGTCTAAAAGATTATGTACGTTCACAAAAACGGCTCTAATACTTTCAAAACTAGAATTTGCATTGCTAAATAAAAAAAAATTATATTAACTAAATAAATAAATTTAAGTAAAAACAAGATTTTATGAAAATAACATACCATCCAGATACTGCCAAAATGTATAAAATATTACTTGTCATTTTTACTATTACTAATGAGTATCGATCAGTAGACATAAATGGAACATGAAGTTTACAAGTACTAACCAACATTTCAGGTAAATTATTTGACAGTAAATACTCGAAATCTGATGATGTAAAATGCATGTTGAGTAATGAAAGAATACATATTTGAATAGAAAATAATTCTGATGTCGCAACATTCATCCTTAAATATATTTCAAAATGTTTGTAAATATTAAGAACAGCATTTTGAATCTGTCTTTTAATTGATCTTGGAACTGTATTAATAGCTGAATAATAATGATCAATAATATGATGTCCGATTAATTGTGACTGGTACAACTCCAAAAGACCACAAATAAATGCCTCAAATACCTATTATTGATTAATATAAAAAATATCATTATGGCTTAATACTTAATACTAAACATTAATTAATATTAAAAATAGAAGATAGTTCATATTACCTTACACATATGACTCAATGAGATATGATTGGATGAGTCTTGTACAAAATCAATAATTTTCAACATTTTTGTAATGCGATTAAAGGCTGCCAATCGATCCTATTATGTACATAGAAAAAAAAAGATTAATGTAAAACTAGCTGAAAAGCCAGCGTTCCCCTAGAAAAAAATTTAATTAATTAACTCATTTTGGGTGTAATTCGCTGTGCATAGGTATGGAAGCAAAATCTCATTATATTTTAATTCTTAGCGATCTCCCGTGAGTTTTGTTTATGGTTATGAGAACAGTATATTATCAGGTAGACAATCCACCTGTGGTAGATTGCGGACACAGCGAGGTGGAAGATAAAATATAGCTTATGTATAAGTACAGCTTTGTAGTTGAAAAAAAATTTGTATACAGTGTACCTAAAATAGTATTGAAGTCATAGTTGATCATCCCGGGTTTTAGGAGTATTTAATATTTATATATTAATATATTCTGGGAGATCATTTCATTTTATTTTTACGGACAAACTGGCATAATTGTACCTAGATTTGTGGATTAATTTGCATATATAAGTATATAACCTGTAACTAAAGGCAACCATTAATAAACCAAAAAAAAGTTTCGATTTCCACCGTGAATCTTAAGATCCCTGTTTAGCACCTCTTTAAAAACAAATATTAGAAAATCCTTTCTTGTTGTATATCTAGATTATTAGAGGAACCACTAAGGATTCCAAATATCAAGTTCGTATGTTTTGTATTTTAAAACCAATATTGTACATTTAATTATGGTTAGATGGCGCCACTATTATATTCTTACAACCCCTTATTTTCCCTTTAGAGATTGAATTTCCAAAAATCCTTTCTTAGAGTACGCCTACGTCATAATAGCTATATATATGCCAATTTCAGCCAGATCCGTCCAGTGGGTCGGCCCGGACCGGCTAGGCTATATATAGATAGATAACAAAAACATAAATATAGAATATAAAATATTGTAATAAATTCATAAAACAATTAAGGGTTCAAAAGTTATTTATAGATTCATCATGAATTAGTTATCAATTGACAAAGTAATTTCATACAGTGGCGTATGAGTTTGATAATAATCTATACATTTTACTAGATGAAAAGAAAACTAATCTTTTATTATACTAAGGTTAAATTGTAATTTTTTTTAAATTATTATATTGCTTTGACATTTTTAAAGAAGGGTTTTTAAGAAACTTCAATGCCTACATTTTCTGTAGGATAATTAGAATCTAAATATTTATTAATTAATTAATTAACTGTACATACATGTGCTCTGATTTCTTCTACTTCTGATGCTTGTATTAATGCATACGGATTGGTAGCTTGTTTAGAATCAAAAACAAACTCTAAAACTGATTCTAATACTGATTTATTAGCAGCAGTCAAATCACTAGAAAAAACAATTAATAATATTTAAAAAAATTTTGATGACATGCATAAATATATTTTGATGTCTTTATATTTTTAAGTTTATATTTATTAAAATTATTTTAACATTAAGATTCATACTCTTTCAAAAGATGTTTATTAGGTAATGATGGATCGCTATGCATTCCACGAACTGCAGTCAACAAAAAACAGCATTTACTAGAAATATTTAAGCACAGGTACTCATCCATTACAGAATTCGGGGAACCTTGAAAGTATAATAAATCCAACATTATAAATAAATAAATTTCTCATTAATTTATAAATACTCACTATTTTCAGAAAATGTGGCAGATTTTTCAGTATTATTTTTAACAATAGCAAAAAACATCTTCATACAAATTTCATTTATAAAAGAAACAAGTTTTTTATTAAACACTAAGCTGCAATAAAAATATTTTTTTTATTAGAGTATAGTTTAAACACGTGTATATATATATAAATATTAATATACTAACTCTTTGAGAGGTCTACCATCAATTTTTATCAATGTAATATAAAACAATGGTAATGTTAAACGTGCTATCATATTATATTTATTGTCTTTTAAGAAACTTTCATATTTATCCTTAAAATTATTGCAGATAGCTAATATGGAATTATCTTCATTTTGTTCATAATCACATAGTATATATTTTAATAAACTTAAATATGGTAAAGGTATAAAATGTAGTTCATGTTCCAATACAGTGAACCCTTGAATAATAATACATTTCAATCGATCTTCTATATCATCTGAAATACAAAAAATCGAGAAAAGCTTTATATACTTTCTATCATTACAGATTTTTTTAATATATGCAATTATAGAGTAATAAAATTATAGCTAGAAGAGCGAGGGATGTAAGTTTTTTTTTTTTATCAGTAAATTTGCTCTAACTTGAAAATTGGACTATTGAAAGTGGTTTCTAGTATAAAATGTTGATAGAGGTCGAGGTAGTTACAATGTCAAAAATGAAAAATCCCAGAACTTTCCATAATAATTGGGAAAAATTAACAGAAAATGGAGGGAAAACAGGATCATTAACACAACATTAGTTTTTGACAATATCAACTTTATTTTATTTTTGTAATTCAGAAAGGATTGAAATAGGAATATTATTATCTCATATGTTGATCATTCAGCAATTTAAAACTATCAAAAATACAAGTCACACATTTTTTTGTTAAGCGTTAATTAAAAATTATGACAAAATAGGATATTAAAATGAAAAATAATTATTTGCCGTTAAATGATTTAAGTGATTTTTTATACTTCAAAAAATAGTAAATTTAGAAACTTTCAACTTTCAACCATTGTTTACATAGTTATATTCTATACGCTGGAATGTTAAACATTTTCAAACTATACTTTGTTAAAGATAAGAAACGTAGTCAGCAGCAGTGGTTTAGACAGAGGGGGAATGTGGGGTCAGATCTCCCTCCATTGGATTTTTATTACCTTAGTTAAAAGTTTTGAGAGGGTTTTTTGAGCCACAGTCAAGCAACACCTATTTGTCACCCTCACCCAGTCAAGTATCTGTATACCTGCCGTGTAGTATTGCCACACCAGTTTTCACAAGTAGACCACCAACTACGTTTCTTAACTTGAACAGAATATAATACTTAATTATTAATAGGCGATTTAAATTTTTAAATTTTTTTATGTTTGATAACATTTTAAATTCTGAGGTACGTACTGATTTTACAGTGATGTTCTTTTATGTTCAATACCCGACAGATACGTGCAAGAAAAAGCTCTATATGGATATTTTTAATTTAAATACATTTTTTGTACTCTTACCAAATATATTTTTATCTTCTAATTTTTCAATTCCTGAAGAAAACAATTTGCTTTTTAGCCAACGTTCATTATATATTTCTGATGGGCATAATGGTGAACTTATCACTCCATAGCTTATTAACTGGCCAATTAATAAACAAAAAGCTGATTCTAGTTCAATAAACCATACAGATTCATTCATCTTTTCAGGATCTAAATATCAATAATTAATACCAATTAATATTAGACTAATATACAGAGTGTAGCAGAAAAACAGGCAAATTAAATAACTTATGTTCAAATCAATATTTAAAAATTTTTTTTCTATATAATTTACAGACGCTCACACTTCACATATTGATAACCATTTTAGATTCTGAGCGGAGCAATGAATGTATTGATTTTAAAATATTTTAATATTTTTTTTTTTTTGTGTGTCTGTCATCACCTTTTGGGACAGTAAACATGCTTCAATTTTCTTCAACGGCATCTTTTCTGGTAGGAAAGTTAATTAGATAGATTTCAAAAGTATCAGGAAAAACAAACAAAAAATTAAAGAAAAACTAAGATTTTAACGCTAGTGTAACACTAAAAAAAATAACTGAATATAGATGAAATTTTCACTTAATGTTTATGTTAGCAATTTCAAACAAAATACCATTTTCAAAATGTTGACTCCTTCTGAGTTACTTATAGGTATGAGAAAATTTTGAGGATTATTTTTTTTTAAAACTTGTTGATACAAATTTGTTCGATTGGTCAAAAACTTGAAGATATAATACAATGTTGCTCATAAGTTGATTGTAATGGAAATTAAAGAAAAAGAAAACTTTTGATCGTATTAACATTTATCTAAGTCAAGTGGTTTATTTTAGGTGATTTTTTAAGACGTCAAAAAAGTAACTCATTAATTTGAAAAATATTTAGATTTCAACAAGTATCTATTTAAGAATTCTCATAAAATATTTTTAAAAGTTTATACTTTTTGAATTTAAAATTTTTATTTTACGAAGACCAACTTTACTTAACAAAATTAATTAATTTAAAAAAATTCTAAAAAATGAACTATATGACTTAAATAAAAGTTTTTCTAATACACATTTTTTAAAAACTAGATTCATAAATGGCTATTTTGAATTTTTTAAAAAAAATGTCTATCAATATAAGATTTAAAATTTGTTCGTATCTAAATTATATAAAAATAAAAAGTATATTGACTAGAACAAAAATTATTCAATTTGTCAGGTTTTCCTATTACTCTCAGTATAGGATATTATATAACCATACTAATACCATTTGAACACATTTTTTGGTTTAATGTATGAAGTGATTGAACTGTATTTATTAAAGATGTTATAAGAGGTTGAATGTGTTCACTTTGTAAAAATGTCAATGAATTTAATGTATTAATCATTGTTTCTCCAACTATTGATGAAGATAAAACACCTGAAATACAAGTTTATATTTAATAAATATATTTTTTTATTGTAAATGTACATATATTTATTAAGCTTCATACCGTTGTAGAAAACATGATGTTCATCTTTATAATAATCAATGGCCATTGTAAATATTTTGTTAGCAAACAATAAGTATGCTTCCATATGATTAACAAAAAGGCGGTTCATACTGAGACAAGACTAAAAAAATAATACAATATTCATCAATATTTCAATGATTAGTTTTTGATGTATTAATATATTGAATGCTCATCTAGCACTAAAACCAGTGAAGTAATTTGTGGTGGGGGAAGTAGGCATTGCCCCCCCCTCCTTGTCATTAGCGGGCCACTATCAAACTGGGTATGGGCTGGTCTCGGGCTAGTTTTGGGTCACAAGCCCTCAAACATGATTAATATCATTGCTAAATAAAATTTAAGCAAGACTCGTGGCACCTACTATTACGTAAATATTTATAGGGTATCTGAATCCTACAGTTTCTAATTTATGTATATTAGATAATAGAAAAATTACTCTTGTAACACGTATAAATTACGTGTTTAATAAATATTTAATAATTTACTGTATGTTTTGTTCGGTGTTTGGAAAGAATGCCGTTCACGTGTTCACGTTCATATTTAGTGAACAATACAATACATGAACATCACTCGTTTTTTTCAAATAGAATGTGAACGAAAACAACATTTATATATTTAATGAATTTGAACGATTTTAATTATGTTCAAATGTATTTATTATTCAATAAATATTGATTAATACTATTATGATATACAATATTTTACGAATTGTATAAAATTAAATGAAATTCCAGTACGCCTGGACATAATACAACAATAATATTATGATTTCCACAATTTTGTATTTGTATTTAAACGATACGTAAAAATAAAATAAAATTAACTAAATGAAGAACAAAATGAAAGCATTCATATTTTCAAAGAACGTGAACATTTGAAAAAAATATGAATTTGAACGTGAACGAGTTTCTTTTTTAAGCACTGAACGTAAATGTGAAAGAATTCATTTTTTAAGTGAACGTTCAAAACACTGATTTTGTTTTATTTTTTGTAAATACGTTTTTACTCTCTGTACATATTATATTAATAGGACATAAATATTGGTGTTATATTCCCCCCCCCCTCAAACTAAGTCTTCATATATACTCTGTTCCATGAGAGAAGGAACTTGTTTTGCGATGTAACTGACGGCTTTTAACAAACTAGGGCACTATTTCCTTCACTCAAACATTCCAGGCGGCAGCGTTGTATAGCAGAACAACTACAACCTATATTTAATTATGGGAAATAAACGCTGTCAGTTACATTATGAAACGAGATCCTTCTCTTATACCTAATAGGTAATAATTTAGGTATCCCTCTACATATATATGTATTATTAAGTCATTGCTATCTCTCAAAAAAATGGGTTATTTATGCTAATGATAATAAGTATAAAATTATGTAAGAAGAATTTTTTTAATGAAATGAAAATATAATTGTTAGGCAAACGGTTTTTTTTCAGTTTTATTATGGGCCGGTCAAAATGTTTACCCCCCCCCCCCCCACCATCACAAAACCTGAAATTACACCACTGATTTAAACACTACACTAATATAACTAACAAAGATATGACATGAAAAATAAAAATGATTTATTGATGAAATCAGCACTACAATGTAAACCAAAAAAGATAAATAGCGAATAAGATAATTAAGATACAAAACACAATTGATTTTTTTTTAAATTTAATATTAATGCTTATACCTATTGAGAAATTTTTGTAAAATTATTTAATAACTAAAACAAAACCTTATATTTATGAAATATTAACTTCTATAAAAAATTGCCTTAATATATACCATGCAATAGGTTGCAAAAAATGTTAATACTTACATTACTAAAATGGTATGACTTTATATTATATGCCAATAAGTGTGATAATAATAACTTATGAAGGGAAGTAAGTGTCATATCCAATTTGTTCACTTTTTTAAATGTAGGGGAATTATTTGACTCCAACAAAGTTACCTTAAAAATAAAATGTATATTTCAATTTACAAACCGTTTTTTTATTCTTATTTCTGTAACAATATATTATAATGCCACGTTAATTTATATTTCTTTTAGCAAAGTAGTATTTATTTAATGATAACATTTAAATAATGTAAAATCTATAGTACTGAAGATAGTTTTAATTGTTAATTGTTTACAGTATATTTGCAACTATTTATTGTATATCTGTTCAAATTAAAATTATTAAAACATTTTACTTACAGTACTGTTTGTTAAATGTTTTAATAGCAGCTTCATAACTTCTTCAATTGATGAATATCGATTTTCATAAAGGTCCATAGAGTTAACTCGAAACAATGAACTAATATGACTATTATCATTTAGACTAGAAACTGTGACATCTAAAAGCAATTTCTGAAAAATACAAAATTAATAAAAATTGATGTATACTTATTATATATATATAATTAATATTACTTGTCCTATAGTTAAATTTGTATCTTGTGCAAGAAGAGATTTGAGAATATTTAGACGCCCAGATAATGGAGGTAAAAGAAGTGACGCACCAGTAGATAAGCAATCCATTAAACTTCTTTCTACTACTTCTTTTACTTGCAAATCTACAAGTCTAAATATAATATAGGTTATATTTTACTGATATTAATTTATTGTTACAAATTAAATATTAATATTTACTTTAAAAGAAGTGTACGAAGCTGACTAGTTTCATTCCCGAGCAGTTTACAAAAATTATGACCAGATACACGGGCAAAAAACAAATGATTATTTAGCATATTTAGACTCAAAATTAACATTTCTTCATTTATACTAAAAAAAAAAAAAAAGATTTACTCATTAAATTGGAATATAATAATACATAGTTATTAGTTAATATAAAATACAATATTAAACTTCGGCAGTGTGCACATGTTCAGAATATCTATTTCATCAAACAAGGTAAACATTTTCCAAAAATATATTTAATTGATAGATGACAATAATTTATTATCACACAAAAAAATTTAATATAGTTTAGGCATTTTAATATTAATGATTTTTAAATTGTTTTATATTATTTTATCAAAATAAAATGATTGATTTATAGTTTTATTTTAATCTTGTATTAAAACTTTACAGAAGCTAATATAATGTCAACACGTTCATTACCCAAAATAGCTTAAAAACATGTGATTGATGAAAAAATATGAAGGAAAAAAATTAACAAGAAAATTATATGTGAAGGTAACATTAAAAAAAAATTTAAAAAATACATACTCATTTGGTGTAGATTCATGAGATTCAATTTGTTCGCAATATTTTTCAATAAACTGTCTTAACCACTTAAATGTACTTTCGTGTAAATCAATACAGAAAGGACTATGCCATACATTTGTTTGCCTAGTTAAAAAAATACAAATGTTAGTCAATTAAACTAATTAAAACTTAGTTTTTTTTAAATAAATACAGTTTGATCAAAACGTTTAATCAAGAAAGTATACTCAAAACCAATACCATTTCAGAAATTAAGCAATCTAATCTACCTTCTCAATTCTTTTATTTTGTTTGTACACAAATTGTGTATATATTTATGTGGAAATAATACACAAAATACCGAAGAAAGAGAGAGCTTCATATTTCCACAATAATAACATAGTTATGTAGGTACTATTTTTTTTTCAAGTTATAGAACCATCACAAATATTTAGAATTAAATGTTACTAGTTACTAAATTGTATTGATTATGTATAATGTACCTACTGTTTACTACTCAATTATCAAGAAAATATATTATTATAATATTTGGGATATCAAGATAGTGTTTCAATATTATGAATTAAAAAAAAGGTGGGCAAGTGGGTGTCGCTCTGCTGTACAGTAGGTTACAAGTGGGTCACTGTATAATGGATGGTATTAAATTTAAATTCAATGATATAATATCATTGTATAAGAAAAACGATTCTGAGCGGTGACGGTATGTCAGTCTATGTATAAGACATATTATATACATATCTATGATATTAAACAAAAAATTGACCTATAATAAATTCCAAACTAATCATATCACAATATCCATTAGATACTTATAACGCGTTATACATCAACAAAAACCGTGATACTATCATAGATATATAATAGTACACTTTAGAAGTTTCAAGTACCCACGAATAATATTATTCAATCACAACAAAATAACTAAAATCGTAATTCTTGGTTTAAATATGAAATTTTGTCTAAATTTGAAATTAAAATGTCTGTAAAAAATAAGTGTGTTTATATATTTTTTAGATTTTTTGGTTACAGTATGATTTATTTAAGAGAATCTTTGTTTTAAATTTTCAACTCTTAGTTATAAAAACTGAACATTTTATAATTTTTTAATTTCAACGATTGATAATTTTCGAGATTTTGATAAATTTTGTCAAAATTCCAACTTTAAATGCTTATAAAAAAATTGTGCCTATGTATTTTTAATATTTTTCAACTGATATTGTAACAATATATCAGGAGCCTTGTATTAAATTTTTACACTTTTTGGCCCAACAGATAAAACTTTATTGATATTTATAGAAAAAAAAAACTAAAAAAATTGAAAGCTGTAAATGTCCATAAACAGCTCAAAAAGAGTCAAAATATTTTCAAAATTGTATGGTGTATAGAAAATGCTAATTTAAACATTCAGTGAAATTTTCATGTATCTACAGTTGTTCGTTTTTGAATTGCAACAAAATAAAGAAATCGCTACATGAGTAATCGAGTGAATATCCAATGTTGTAAAAATTTGAATTTCAAACGCTCATAAAAATTTAACTCGACTGTCCGGTAGAGATTTTTTTATTGATAAAGGTAGATAATCTTATAAGGAATCTTGTGTTTCATTTTCAAATCTTAGATTTAAAAAGAAAAATTTTTACGAATTCTCAACTCAAAATAATTTGCTAATTTTCGTGATTTTTCCATATTTTGTCAATTTTTGAACTTTAAATGCTTATAAAAAAAAATTGTGACTAAGGATTTTTAATATTTTTCATCTGCCTTTGAAACAACATATTAGGAGCCTTCTATTAAATTTTCAAGCTTTCGCAACCAACAAATAAAATTTAATTGATATTTTTAGAAAAAAAAAAAAAAAAATGGAAAATGAAAATGTCCCTAAACAGTTCAAAATAAATCAAAATATTTTGAAAATGTTATCGTGTATAGAAAATGCAAATATAAACAACCAGTGAAAATTTCATGTATATACGTTCATTTGTTTTAGAGTTACACCAATAACCAAAATCGATTTTTTGGAAAACCAATTTTGCGTAAAAATTCCCGTTTTTCCTTAATTTTTATGTTGTTTTTTCCCGGTGCTTGTGAAAACTACTGGGAAATTTATACTTTTGACCCCCCCAAAGTACCAACTAGATTCACTTTCCTATCAGAAAAGCTACTGATGAAGAAAATCCAAGCACTTTTACTGTCCTAAAACGTGATGACAGACACAAAAATATAAAAAAAAAGGTGGGCAAGTGGGTGTCGCTCTGCTGTACAGTAGGTTACAAGTGGGTCACTGTATAATGGATGATATTAAATTTGAATTCAACGATATAATATCATTGTATAAGAAAAACGATTCTGAGCGCAGACGGTATGTCAGTCTATGTATAAGACATATTATATACATATCTATGGTATTAAACAAAAAATTGACCTATAATGGGTACCTATAATAAATTCCAAATTAATCATATCAAAATATCCATTAGGTACTTATAACGCGTTATACATCAACAAAAACCGTGATACTATCATAGATATATAATAGTACACTTTAGAAGTTTCAAGTATCCACGAATAATATTATTCAATCACAACAAAATAACTAAAATAGTTATTCTAGGTTTTTAATATGTAATTTCGTCCAAATTTGAATTTAAAATGTCTGTAAAAAATAACTGTGTTCATATATTTTTTAGATTTTTTGGTTACAGTATGAACTATTTACGAGAACCTTTGTGTTGAATTTGCAATCCTTAGCTATAAAAACTGAACATTTTATAATTTATTAATTACAATGATTGATAATTTTCGAGATTTTGATAAATTTTGTCAAAATTTGATCTTTAAATGCTTATAAAAAAAAACTGTGCCTATGTATTTTTAATATTTTTCAACTGATATTATAACAATATATCAGGAGCCTTGTATTAAATTTTTACACTTTTTGGCCCAACAGATAAAACTTTATTGATATTTATAGAAAAAAAAACTAAAAAAAATTGAAAGCTGTAAATGTCCATAAACAGCTCAAAAAGAGTCAAAATATTTTCAAAATTGTATGGTGTATAGAAAATGCTAATTTAAACATTCAGTGAAATTTTCATGTATCTACAGTTATTTGTTTTTGAATTACAACAAAATAAGGAAATCGCTACATGGGAAATCGAGTGAATATTCAATGTTGTAAAAATTTGAATTTCAAACGCTCATAAAAATTTAATTTGACTTTCTTATAAACATTTTTCTTTTGATAAAGGTAGACAAACTTATAAGGAATCTTGTGTTTAATTTTCAAATCTTAGATTTAAAAAGAAACATTTTTACGAATTCTTAACTCAAAATAATTTGCTAATTTTCGTGATTTTCCCATATTTTGTCAATTTTTGAACTTTAAATGCTTATAAAAAAAAATTGTGACTAAGGATTTTTAATATTTTTCATCTGCCTTTGAAGCAATATATTAGGAGCCTTCTATTAAATTTTCAAGCTTTTGCAACCAACAAATAAAATTTTATTGATATTTTTAGAAAAAAAACTAAAAAAAAATGGAAAATGAAAATGTCCCTAAACAGTTCAAAATAAATCAAAATATTTTGAAAATGTTATCGTGTATAGAAAATGCAAATATAAACAACCAGTGAAAATTTCATGTATATACGTTCATTTGTTTCAGAGTTACACCAAAAACCAAAATCGATTTTTTGGAAAACCAATTTTGCGTAAAAATTCCCGTTTTTCCTTAATTTTTATGTTGTTTTTCCCGGCGCTTGTGAAAACTAAAGAAAATTAAAAAAAAAATAAAAAAAAAAATAAAAAAACACACATCATTGTAAAATCAATACATTCATCGTTTCACTCAGAATCTAAAAGGTGGGCAAGTGGGTGTCGCTCTGCTGTACAGTAGGTTACAAGTGGGTCATTGTATAATGGATGGTATTAAATTTGAATTCAATGATATAATATCATTGTATAAGAAAAACGATTCTGAGCGGAGACGGTATGTCCTTCTAGGTAAAAGACATATTATATACATATCTATAGTATTAAAAAAAATTGACCTATAATGAATTCCAAATTAATCATATCACAATATCCATTAGGTACTTATAACGCGTTATACACCAACAACAAACCCTGATACTATCATAGATATATATAGTAGATTACTTTAGAAATTTCAAGTACCCACGAATAATATTATACAATCACAACAAAATAACTAAAATCGTAATTCTTGGTTTAAAATTTTAAATATGAAATTTTGTCTAAACTTGAAATTAAAATGTCTGTAAAAAATAAGTGTGTTTATATATTTTTTAGATTTTTTGGTTACAGTATGAATTATTTAAGAGAATCTTTGTTTTAAATTTTCAACTCTTAGTTATAAAAACTGAACATTTTATAATTTTTAAATTCCAACGATTGATAATTTTCGAGTTTTTGATATAAATTTTGTCAAAATTCCAACTTTAAATGCTTATAAAAAAAATCGTGCCTATGTATTTTTAAAATTTTTCAACTGATATTGTAACAATATATAAGAGAGCTTGTATTCAATTTTCAGACTTTTTGGCCCACCAAATAAAATTTTATTGACAATTATAAAAAAAACAACTAAAAAAATTGAAAACTGAAAATGTCCGTAAACAGCTCAAAAAGAGTCAAAATATTTTCAAAATTGTATGGTGTATAGGAAATGCTAATATAAACATTCAGTGAAATTTTCATATATCTATAGTTATTCGTTTATGAATTACAACAAAATAAAGAAATCGCTACATGAGAAATCGAGTGAACATCCAATGTTGTAAAAATTTGAATTTCAAACGCTCATAAAAATTTAATTTGACTGTCCGGTAGAGATTTTTTTATTGATAAAGGTAGACAAACTTATGAGTAATCTTGTATTACATTTTCAAATCTTAGATTTAAAAAGAAAAATTTTTGCGAATTCTTAACTCAAAATAATTTGCTAATTTTCGTGATTTTTCCATATTTTGTCAATTTTTGAACTTTAAATGCTTATAAAAAAAAACTGTGACTAACGATTTTTAATATTTTTCATCTGCCTTTGAAACAATATACTAGGAGTCTTCTATTAAATTTTCAAGTTTTTTTAACCAACAAATAAAATTTTATTGATATTTCTAGAAAAATAACTAAAAAAAAAATGAAAAATGAAAATGTCCCTAAACAGTTCAAAATAAATCAAAATATTTTGAAAATGTTATCGTGTATAGAAAATGCAAATATAAAGAACCAGTGAAAATTTCATGTATCTACGGTCATTTGTTTTGAAGTTACACCAAAAACCAAATTCGATTTTTTGGAAAATCGATTTTGCGTAAAAATTCCCGTTTTTCCTTAATTTTTATGTTGTTTTTCCCGGCGCTTGTGAAAACTACTGGAAAATGTTTACTTTTGACCCCCCAAAGTACCAACTAGATTCACTTTCCTATCAGAAAAGGTACTATTGAAGAAAATCGAAGCACTTTTACTGTCCCAAAACGTGATGACAGACACAAAAAAAAATATAAAAATATAAAAATAAAAAAAAAACACACATCATTGTAAAACCAATACATTCATCGCTCCGCTCAGAATCTAAAATATAAAAACATACATCATTGTAAAACCAATACATTCATTGCTCCGCTCAGAATCTAAAATTATATTGGTGTTGGTAAAGAGTATGTTATAACTTATAACCTTTGAAAAGAAATAGCTTCTTCAATGTTTATATTTTCAGACACAATTAATATTAATTTTAATTTTAAAATGCATTTCTCTACTAGACTAGTTTTTAACAAAATTTTTAGAGCATATTGGTCAATAAATATAAACAAGATCAAGTAACAATGATTATTATTTAGAGCAGGGGTCTGCAAACTACCACATGTGGCCCTCATAATAATTTTATGTGGCATTGGAGTGAACCTGGAGTATAATTTGTCATATAAAAAAATTACTAAGATAGTATGAACTTGAATTTGAAGGTTAAAACGTTGTTTGTCTGTAGATACCTTGTTAAATTAATAACCCTAACAGTTATAAACTTAAATAAACTAAATTTGATATGATAATATATTTTTGTTTAAAATAAAATAAGGTGTATTGAAATTAGGACCCATGAAAAATGTACATTTAGATTTTGGCCCATGACATCAAAAAAATTGTCGACTCCTACTTTAGAGTAAACCGAGTATTCAACTTAGAAAAAATTCTTTAATCCACAAATTTATTTTCATATACCTTTAAACTTGACTAATCACTCAACTGATTTCTTGGTAAAATAAATGTTAAATCTATAAATATCTTGAAACCTCAATATTTCTGATATAAATACCAATTAAAAGAAGGTTGGAACTCAATAATTTTGGTGCAAGCAGGAAATTTTCAAATACTCGATTAATTTGAGTACTCGAGTAATTATGAGTACTTCATTTTTGAACCACACTAGATTAATGCTAAAATTTCCAAAAAATAATAATCACTCAACTCTACTATTCTGAGATACTTTCAAAGACACTTATGACTTATCTACCCAAAATCATCCAACTGCATCTAACTGTTATTATTATATTATAATCAATAATTATTTATAGTTTATATTATGCATATAGGTACCTGTCTGGTGGTAACGTTGTCCAAGCAACACTATGTGAAGTTCCAGCAGAAATTTGATTTATTTGTTTACCTTCCAAATTAATTACTTTGCTAGGACGACTTACAGGACTTGTTGAATGGCCTTGTCCACACTGGCCTTTCCCATTAGAACCCCATGCATAAACCTAATCAAAAAAACTGTATTACATATATTCGATTGAAATCAATAAAATTATTTGTGTAGTATATACTCCATTTATTTATTATCATATTTGTTTTCCTTATTGTGTAAATATAACAAGATTAAATCTTCTATTAAAAAAAAAAAAAACATACTAAAAACTATGCTCTCAAAATATATTATTAAAAATGATATGTATATTTTACTCACTGCACAATTCCTTGTTAATGCCAAACAATGAGAATCACCTACAGATATATCGATAATCATTTGTTGCATAAGATCTTCAACCACAGCTGGTGAGAAGAGAGTAATTTCTGATGAGCCACATCCAAGATTTGATCCTTGGCCCCAAGTAAATACCTAATCAATACAATAAATAAACAATGCAATTTCACCCATAACCCTACAGTGATATAAACATATTTTAATGATTTTTCAAATATTTAATTGTAATTAATACTATTAGGTAACTTATTAATTAATTTTCCATGAACAAATTAGTTATTTATATAACATTAAATATTTTATTTATTAAGGATTTTTTTTTTTTTTTTTTTATCCATGTCTGAAGGCACCAATATAATTTAAAGTTATTGTAGTACTAATTTTTTGGGAAATTGTTTTAACCAATTATTACTAACTTCTGAAAACATAAATATTAGTACATACTTCACCAGTGCAAGTTAATGCAACAGAAAAATGTATTCCAGCGGCTACTTTTTTAATTTTGTAATGTCTCAATCCTTCAATTTTTTGTGGCTTATACAATCTTATTGTATTACCATGACCAAGTTTTCCATTATCTCCAGAACCAAAAGACCAAACGGTATTTCCATCACGTGAACAAGCCAACGTATGAGTTGAACCACAAGCTACATAACCCACTGGCATGTCACTTAAACTTTTAACAAGTGTAGGTATAAATCTAGGATTACAATCACCATGTCCTAAAAAAATTTACGTTATTTTATGTTTAAATATCATAAAATGCATATTATTTATAAAATACCTAATCGACCATGATCTCCTTCACCCCAAGTGTATAGTTGTCCATCACTAGTAACTGCGGCACTATGTCTATAACCAGCACTAACTAATTCTATTACTTTACCAATAAATGGGCCTTGGATTAGTTTTGGTTCTTTGTGTGTAGCAACATCTCCATGTCCTAATTTTCCATAATCACCTACATCAAATATCTACTTAAATAACAATTCAATATGTGTAACAATAAATATATCAAACTTACCATCTCCCCAACTATATACTTCTCCTGTATCACTTAAGGCTAATGAATGACCATCACAGCCTTTTGATGAAGATACTTGTTTAATTTTGCAATTGATGTTAATACGTTTAGGGACTGGTTGATTAGATGAGTTACCTAATCCCAAGCGACCATAACTATTTTTTCCACAAGCACTTACACAACCTTTTGTATCTATAATAAATGTACAATATTGTCCTGCCTCTACTTGTTGTACATCTGATAGAGATCTAACGAGTCGTGGTATATCCGTTACTTCTGTTGCTCCTTCCGCATGTTGATTTGAAGAATTACTCCCCCACATAAATACTTCACTTAGAGGTTGTGGTAATTCAGCAGAGTTCTGATTTAATGGAGTACGGACAACAGAAGTTTCTCCAAAACTAACAAGCTGAAATTATTTTTAAATAACTTTTAATAAACAATATATTATTAAAAGGCCTAAAAATTACTTTTTTCATTAACAATAAAGCAACATCTTGTAATGGTATACGATTTCTAGATTTATAATTTTCAAATTCTTCCGATCCAAAGGCAAAAGTTAATATCGATGACATTTCTTCCAAAACTCGATAAAGTTTTTCAAATGGCAAACAAATATCATCAATATTTAAAGCCATATCAATCCATTCCAATAAATAAATAAGAGATTCTCGCTGATAAGCTAATAATAATGATAATTCTGCAAGTTGTTCTTTAACTGCACAAATTAAAAGTTATAAATGTAATTTAAAAGTTAAAAATTATGATAGTTTAATAAAATATAATTTCACCATTCATATTTTGTATGAAATCAGCATTTAAACATTCTTTTACAAAATGCGTTACATTATCTAAACAATCTAAGCCAAGTTGAGGTAGTTCAGCTTTACTACCTAAAGAAAGTGGACTTAATTCTCTCATCAGTGTTAATGCAGTATTAAGTACTTCTAAACCCATATTCATGTCTATAAAAATATATTAAGTTTGATTAACATTATATCAATAAAAAAATAATAATCAAGAATATTATAATTAACCATTGCAATTTTTATTTTCCCAACTTTGTCTTAACAATGTGAAAAACATTGTAAGTCCTGTTTTCACAGTTAATTGTATAAGTACTTGTTGTCCAGTTAATTTTACTACTGGCTTTATGGTCTCTTCAACAGCATTTTGAGGTATCATTAATATTTGAACACTTTTATCTTCCTATAGAAAAAAACAATGATGCATCTGTTAAAAAAAAGTATTTTTAGAAAAAATTAATTTTAATATTACCTTAGATAAGTAGTATTTTGTATGAAGTATATCATATAACTTATTTAATAATGATAATTTTTTTTGAAGTTTTTTAGAAAATGTCAGACTATCATAATATCTACGGGCAAGTTCATGATGACTTGTAATTATTTGTTTTTTTCGTTCATTCAATCTATTCACAGACATGCTCGGTAAAGAATAAACATTTTCATCAATTTCATATCCAATTCCATTTATACTATGTAATATTTCCATTACATTATCATCTGTACTATTGCAATCAAAGTTAGCCAACTTTGAGACAATTTCTGCGTCTGCATCCATATTGAGTGAAGAAAGGATCTTCGGTATGTTTATATCAACTTCTTCCATTACACACTAAACAAAAATTCAAATATATTTTTTATTTACCGAAATAACTAGCAATCAAATTTTAAATTGATGGAATTACTTAACTTATAAAATCAAATGAAGTGCAAATTATAAATAATAATATTTGTTTATGCTTATAAAAACTATATTTCATATTTACATTGGTACCTAGAGTGATTGTTTTTTTATATTGATGACTATACTCCGGACAACGAGAGTCCATACGTCATTACGTAAACCACCCATCGATATAGTAATACACGATGTTGGTTTTCTCCCACTATGACGCCATTCCCACTATTCAGCAATGTGCCGATGAGCAGCGACGGACGCGTTTTTACGTATGGACTCTCTTAGGCCGGAATATAGTTAATTGGTAAGAATTAAAATGTATTAAATGCATTAATGACGAGTTTAATGTGCAATTTATTAATTCAATGGTTCACCAAAATGTATTGAACCCATTGCCATAAATCATGTTTAAGTGATTATTAGGTAAATAGCGATTGATTCATTAAAATGTTTTTTTTTTATTATAACCGAATATTCACTATCTACCTATGTTTTGAGACATATTGAGCAAATTAGCCAATATTATACAGTGGTATAGCCAGGATTATGAAATGGGAGGGGGGTTGGTTCAATCCAAAATGTATACAGTTAATAAATAATAAATTATTTATTTATTAGGGGGGGGGGGAAATGTCAATTTGGGGAGGGAGATTAAACATCCAAAACCAACACCCCGGTACGCTACTGATATTACTTACATATAAAACAATACAATGACATGTCATGCCCACCCAGTGATTGAACATAGCTTTATTACTTTATTTTTCTAGTTAATTATAATTGGTAAATATATCAATTTAATCGTCCAATAGATCCTAACACCATTTTCTTTGAAATCGACTAGGGGGATTTCCAGGGAGTGTATTAGATGCTAGTTAATTGATTAAAGAGTTTGAACAAGTCTGAAATTTGAAACATATTTTTTTATAATGTTTTGTGGCTAATTAATTTACTGATTCTATTGTAAAGTAATTTTGAAGTGTGCAATTAGATAGGTACATATCAAAAGATCCATAAGAGTTAATACAGAGAGTGATGGATTGGAAGTCTTGAATGGTACAAAAAAGTATTTTAATTATAACTGATTTTTTATGCAACACGGGCATGAACAATTTATAAGTATAATATTATTTAAATTAATTTTTAATAACATACCACCATTTAATGAACCTATTAATTATAATTTTAATTTAAACCACTATATAGAAGATATGTGAATTTCACTTTGTATACAGATTTAGTATTTAATTATTAGAAATACAACAAAAAAAGGTAAAACAATTTAATGTATTAGGTAAAATCAAAACTAGAAAATGAATTAGTTAAAATCGAATTTTTATTGGTTAATATAAACATGATGTAAATGGATTTTTAATGAATAGTAATGGTAAAATTTACCTATAGAATAAAGGCAAGTATGAACATTATTTTAAAATATTTGTCAATTTACCTTTAAATTGATTCCGATCAATAGTATATTTTAATCATATATTCCCTCATTTGATATATTTCAAAATAGTCACATAATCTTATTGTTTTGTACATTACATTTTTTACATAGTTCCAGAAATTTGATAAAAAAAAATTTTGAAGTTTCAATTTTCAATTTTCTTTCGAAACAATATAATACAGCCAACAGGCAAAAACAACCATGAATTCTATTATCAAATATTGACAGGAAAATCACAGAATAAAATATTATATAATCATCCACAGAATAAATAAATAATAGGATCACTACTTTTTAGAACACTATCATTATCAGTAAAATCGTTTCTTTTTTTAATAATAATAGTTGGCAACACTATTTTTAGTTCCCTCCACGGACTAAGATATATCTTAGTCCGTGGTTCCCTCACTGGGATAAATGATAACGAGATAATATTTTGTCAAATACAAATTGAAATATACAGAAATACTCAAATCTCTTTATCTCTGAAAAGTGAGAACTGTTAATAATTATAATATTATAATATTTATTATTTATGGTTAATGGTCTTTTTATCCTGCTTGACATTTTTTATTAAACGATTTTTAAACTTGTGATTTTGTGGAAAATAATGGAAAAGCTGATTAAATTAAAAACTCTGAATTGTCATATTACATGTAAAATATGTAGAGGGTATTTAGTGGATGCTACGACTGTAACAGAATGTTTACATACATGTTTGTACCTAACATTTCATATTCAAACATTTATATTTTTATCATTATTATTACTTGTTTATTTTTTTTTAGTTTGCAAAAGCTGTCTTGTGAAACATTTAGAAGAGAACAACAGTTGTCCTACTTGTCAAATTGTTATACATCAATCGCATCCATTGCAGTATATAAGTTTTGATCGTACAATGCAGGATATTGTATTTAAATTAGTACCAGGACTTCAGCTGGGTATATATAAATAGAAAGATACAACCTAGAAAATTATAAATAATAAATAAAAGTACAAAACATTTTAATTTTGAATTAGATGAAACAAAGCGTGAAAGGGAATTTTATAGAATCAGAGGCCTACCCTATCCTAAAGAAGTCCCGGCTGGTACTGAAATTGATGATGATAAGACAGCACAAGATCAAGCAGCAGCAGATTCTGACTACCATAGAGCAGATGAACAAGTAACACCCTTTTTTTATTTTTTATATGTTTACTTATTATAAAAACTCCTTCATATTATTTTTTTTAACTATAATTTCATTGTGAAGGTAAATATCGGTTTGGAATGTGTTGCATCACACTTGAAGTCATTAAAGAAAAAGTTCCTAAGAGTGTCATCTCAGGCCACTATTACACATCTTAAAAAGTTCATCGCTGTGAAAGTACTTGATGGATCGGATAAATACAGAGACGTTAGTAACATTTTACTATATTTCAATCAATATTGTTCGTAATTGTATATATAATTTGCTTTTTCAGATTGACATCTTGTGTAATGATGAATTGTTGGGAAAAGACCACACTCTTAAATTTGTATATGTAACAAGATGGCGATTCAGAGAACCTCCTTTAAAACTTCAGTATAGACCAAAATTAGATTTGTAAATTATTTTTTGATCTGTCTTATTCAGTATTGTATCTTTTACTTATCGCATGTACAACTTTTTTTTATATTGTATCTGTTCATTTAAGTTAAAAATCATAATTTATTTAATGTAAATTTTGAAATTTAAAATACTACTGTTTAATTAAATACATAAAAAAATTTTAATATGTTTATTTAACTTTCACAATCTTAAAAATATAGATTGTATGTAATATACATATTATTTATTCCAATTTTGAATTAATATATTTGTCTATATATATATTATAAAATTAATTGAATGGGTTTTATTTTTATAAAATGTATGGTTTATGATTATAAATTAGGAAAATTATTACAAAAGATTATATCAACATTGTTCAGTTACAAATTTTTTATAAATATTTTTATTAATACATATTTTGCATTTAATTAGTATTATTATATTATTTGTATTGATTTAGAGTGTAAATTATGATTACAATTCTTTTAAATAATTGTACCTATGTGTTTATATATCTTGTATTTATTTATTTTTGTATTATTATTATTCATAAGCTATACAACATAAAATGTACAATAAGTATAATTTAATAAAAGTTACGTTTACTGCAAAATACATCAGAAAAAGTCACTCATTAGCAACATTTTCAACTGTAGAGAAAATTAATTTAAATAATAAATATTTTTTTTTAAAAAAACAACATTTTGTGATTTTAGACAGATGGGTGATTTTACAACGAATATTTATTTAACTTTTATCAAATAACTTAACTTGATACAAATATTTTGTAGTTAATATTATAAGTATCTTTAATTTGCACATTAATAAAAATGAAATTATTTATGAGTGACTTTAAAGTATGTTCTATGAAAGAATTAAGAATAGAAGTAAAGTAAGGAGTTAGAATAGGTGGAGAAATAATTAACACACTGAGATTTGCTGACGACATTGCTTTTTGAGCAGAAACAGAGGATGGCCTCCAAAAGATTTCAACTAATGTCAATAAAATATTATGGGACAAATATAGAATGCGATTAAATAAAAAAAAGACAAAGGTTATGGTGTGCAGCAAGACAAACCTTGCTCTCAACTTAATATACATATAGATAACACAAGCATAGAACAAGTACATCACTTCAATTACTTGGGAAGTAAAATAACGGAAATGGCCGTAGTAAAGATGAAATTATAAATAGAATAGCACAAGCAAAGAGGGCCTTCCAAAATAAAAAAAACACCTATTAACCACCAATAGTATGGCCTTAGAGGTAAGGAAAAGGTTCTTAGAAATATATTTTTGGAGTATTGCTTTATATGGCTGTGAAACCTGGACAATCAGTGCAATACAGAAAAGGAAACTAGAGGCCTTCGAAATGTGGTGTTATCGTAAAATGTTAAGAATTAAATTTATTGATAGAATAATGAATGAAAAAGTACTAAATAGAATAAAAGAAAAGAAAGTACTATGAAATACCATAAAAGTTAGAAAAGCTAACATGATGGGACATCTACTACGCCATGAGAGTCTATCGAAAACCGTCATAGAAGGCGATGTTGAAGGCCAAATAGGAAGAGGAAGACGAAGGATGGAGTACATGAAGCAAATCTTAATGGACATGGGGAAGAAAAGTTATGAGGAACTAAAAGAATTGAGTAACGAGAGGGAAGTACGGAGAACTGCAGCAAACCAATCTAAGGATTGAAGACTCAGAGAGAAAATGTGCAATGTCGTTCGTTAGTAACACAAAGAAAACACATAATACATGACACAAGTAAAATTTATGCAGTATATATTTCAAATTTGTGTATATTCTTAAAAAAAAATATTTCATTTTACTATACAGTTGGGTCAATAGTAAGCGTAACAATAGACATTTAAAAATATGGTCTTTATTGGTTATCGTGACTATCAACAATGGTTAAAATATTGATTAAAATAATATAAAATATTTGATATAATTGAATTAAAAATAAAATAAAATTTGATATAATTAATAATTCACACGAGGTGGAAAATGTTGGTTAATATTTTGACGAAAGGATCAACCGTTTGAAGAGCTTGGTACCACATAAACAGTGGATTGTTGTATTTAGATTAATAATCTAAGACAGGACATATTTTGACTGATTTTTAAGCTTGTATACATATTTTAATATTTTTTTATTCGTATAAAAATACATTTTTGAGCATAAGCTATCAAACTTCTCTAGTGTTATATTGAACAGCATGTTAAACATTGATTAAAACAAAATTGCAATAGTATGGACTATAGACTACAGAATATCTAAATAAATTGGAATGTAATTCAATCTAAAGAATTCAAATACCACACTGTATGAAAAATCATCTCAATTCTTTAAATTTATGCAGGATATTATTATAATTTTAAGATGACGCTAATTAATAGTATATACTATATTATATTTAAAACAGATTTCTACAGACAATACAGGTGGATACAAGTCTCCCCCCCAGACTGTCTTTTTAACAATATTATTTGGCTAAACAAAAAGGTAATATAATTTATGAAAGTTCTTCCCCCCCCCCTATTTGGTGACTTCCGCTACTGTCTAGAGACATTATGTTTTCAACACTAATTAACCAATATCAGAATTTTTTGCAATAATGTATTTACCTTAATATAAGTTAAAAACTTTAATTTAAATGATATAGAGAAATGTGTAGTTTTTTAGCGAAACCCAGTATAAATTGAATAAAAAATTGAGAATTACATATATTTAATGCAATATATAACCAGTCTTAAAGGAATTAAAAATGTAATGTACTAATGTGTTTCAAGCAGTTAATAAGGACTAATTATTATACATATTAAACAATACTAACTGTTCAGTGTGGCCTATGTTAAAAAATTGTTTTAAAAAAAAATTAATTTGTCATTTTAAATAACATCTATTTATAATAGGTAGGAATATATTATGTAACCAATGACAATCATTTATATTTAAACAAAACAAATACTGTCAGTATCATCAATAGCGACAGCCAAGAGCCCATAAAAATACATTGCTATAACCAGATGTCGTTATATAAATGTACATATTATAAAAAAAGGCATTTTGCCAGGACTTTGAAATTAACGTTGTTATCACCTGCATCATTATAGATTCCACTGACCGTATTTTTTTTTCATAATACTGTGAACCAACAACAACATCCAAGTCTCATGGAATTTCTCGACATAACTTTTACTGAAAACGATCCAGTAGTTTTTGAGTCAATTAATTACAGACAGACAGGCAAACATACTTTTATACAAATTACATAAATACATATAATATATAGAGAAGTACATTTAATATTTTCAAACTTACATTTTCTAGAATTAATTATTCTACTAAAAATATTTATTAGTTTATTCATTTAAACATGTTTATACACAATTGATTACAAATTTAAAATTTCAGTTCTCTTAAAAAAAAAAAATTAATATCTTCTATTTATTATTTCATGACAAACTTTAGAATTAATTTTGAATACACAAAGATATCATATTTATACCAAACATTTAATGAAAAAGGTGGTAAGTTAATTTTAAAATATTAACAAATTCACAATACTACTGCATATAATAATTACGTATTCATGAAATATGTTTATTTTGGTTTAGTTTCTTGATCGGTAACATACCTAATATAAACATTATTTTCAGGTATTGGATCTGGATGTACGTCTTGTTCATACATGTAGGAACTGCCAATAGCCAAAGATGAACCTTAAATAAAAGTTTTAAATTTATTTTTAAAACTGTTTTAAATTTTCTATTTAATTATAAGTTATTACTGAACTAGTCACTAATACATAAGAAATAAAATAGAATTATTTTTAATTATGTTATACCAATTACTGATTCATAATACAAATAATTGAAAGAATGAAACAATTATTACAACGATTAAACCTACTATATAAGAGTTAGAATATTAGTCACAAAATAAAAATATCAATTAAAATTAAATTAAATAAATAAACATTTACTCACCATCATGACTAAAGCATAGAGATGTAATTCCTGTATTGTAACGATGAAATTGGCACAATCTTTTTTTATTAAAACCATCCCAAATATTTACATATCCATCAGAACCACCCGTGGCAAATGTATTAAATACTTGATGAAAACTAATAACAAATCAAATTCATAAGTATTGAAGAGAGAAAAACATAAAAGAAACATAATAGAATTATCCATCATTACTCATTTTGACACTTTTGTATTGTTTATTGTAAAATAAAATATAATAATTTTATTTTTTTTTTACATAAATGTTCATATAAGCTGGTTTTAGAATAAATTATCAAATGCTATTAAATATATCTATTAATAAATGCTTTGTTTACTGAAAAAGCTAAAAAAAATTCATTGAAATTGCTGGAACATATATTAAACTATCTATTAACAAAGCTTATAAAAGCTTTATAAATAAAAATATTATCATTTTTCTGAAAATAACTAGAACATTCTGACATGTTCTAAATTAAAGTCTATACAAACTTGTTAATAGATAAAATGTTATACTTAGGTAAGTTACTATGTAATTAATATTATAACACTGTATTATTATAGATTTAGTAAAAAGTTAAAATAGTTAAAAATATTTAAAAGAATTATAATTTGGTGTACAAACTTATTACCTTATAGCATTGACTGGGTAAATGCATTCGATATCATTATCTTTTATTCTGTGACACTTAAAAGCATATTTTTTCTTCTGAATTTCTGGAGCTGTATCAAAATATTCAACAGCCACACGTCCCTCAATACTACTTAACACATAACCTTGTTTATTTGGTGAGCAACGAATACACCTTGTTTGAAACTTTAAATTTGATTCTCTCCTTTGCATTATATAAGCCGTGTTTCTTAAATCCCAAACAAATACTTTACGCCCAGCAGTGCCAACAACCAGTTTTTCACCTACATTACTCATAGTGAAAACCTAAATAAAAAAAAAATTATTGGTAATTATAAATAAAATGTTAAAATAATAATTACTAATTGAAATGAAAATATGTAACAAATACTTTATCAGGTTGGGGGAGGGTTCCAACACATTGAGATGTTCTTGTGTCCCACATTTTAACATTGCCGTCCCAACCACCGGATAAAACTACATTCACTTCGTTAGAATACTCAACACAGCGTACTGCATTATCATGTGAGCCTAGGACACTTTCTGAAATTTAATATTAGTTAAATTGATGTATGAAATATTTCAATTTAGTTTATGTTACTAAATAAAAAATAAATATTTACCAGAATTACTATTCAAATCATACATTTTCAACTTGTTATCTAGACCACCACTAAATGAATGAACTGCATCCTATTATAGATCAAATATACAAAATATTTAAGCATATAATATACTTAATAAATAATAGGTATAATCAGTTTTTACATTTTCCTATTACATAAAAATTTGTTGTACCTAGATGCACAACATAATTTTTACAATTAAAATTAATAATTGCTAGGTGATCAATTTAAAAATGAATAGTATTTAATTTAGTAATTATACCTGAAAGCTAACATCCAATACTGGCCGATCATGTGTATACTTTGTGCGCATGCTATTCGCCTGGACATCATAAAGCCGAACTGAACAATCCCAAGATGATACTAATAAAAACTGAGATGAACTAGGTCCAAACTTTACAGAGGATATACTGTCTTCTGGTGGGTTCTTAAGTCTAAACTCTGATCTTGACTCGCCAATCATATTTAACTTGGTTGGTATATACTATCGTTTGAAATTCACTTAAACCAAAAACCCCCTTTGTGTTTATATTAACTTATTGAATTATAAAAATAATTATTATTAAAAATGGTTACAAATCGTTTCTGTTATTTAAAAATGTTCTTTAACTAAAATGATTTTTGTACTTATCATTAATGTAAACGACATTTACATACGTAGTATATTTTATACTTAAATTTAAAAATAAATAAATAGTTAATTATTAATATAAAGCTAACTGTCAAAAACTCAGAATCCAGAATTCAACGATTCTTCAAAGTTCAGATTAAATAAACAAATGTCAAATAACAATATAGTTATGGTATATACCTATAGAATGAACAAACTCATAACTATCATTTAAATTTAAATTACAAGTTTTTGAGGTTATAGCCGAATACCCATACGACATGGAGTTCTATGCATTAGCTCCAAACGACATATGTTCAAAAGAACCATGAAACCACGTCCGTGCATGAAACCTAGAAATCCAGAATTTTACCATATTTTCTGAGATATTTTCTATGCTTATAGACTTTATATTTTACTAGTAACGGTCTTCAGATATCTTCTAAAATGATGTGTGTTTTTTTAGATTCCGAGTAGAGCGATGATGTGTGTTTTTTTTAGATTCTGAGCGGAGCGAAGAATGTATTGATTTTACAATGATTTTTTTTTGTGTCCGTCCTCACCTTTTAGGACAGTAAAAATTCTTAGATTTTCTTCAACAGTATCTTTTCTGATAGAAAAACGAATCTAATTAGTACTTTGGGGGGTCAAAAGTAAAAGTGTTTACAGTAGTTTTCAAAAGCGCCGTGAAAAACAAAAGAAAAATTAAGGAAAAACTAGAATTTCGAGAAAATCGATTTTGGTTTTTGGTGCAACTCACTGCCGCAACAACCGGGGGTGCTAGGGGTGCAAAGAACCCCCGGGCCCCCTGTAAATCATAACAATGGGCCCCGGGCCCGTGGCCGAACTATTTGGAACTTTTTTTCTTTTAAAATATTTATTTGTTATTTAAAAATAGAAAGTTATAAAATATTATTAACTTATGAGTATGTTTAACAGTTATCGCAACCCGCATCGCCAAGACACGCCATACAAGACGTCTTATTTAGGTGTATTATATAAGTAGTGACATTTCCAAGAACAATTTATCCATGCACAGAAAAATAATGGTTACAGTCGTTGCCGGATAAATTCAGTGTTGCCACATATAATTTTAAAAAAAAACTAAATTGCTGTGAAAAAAGGCCAAAAAAAGTCCAGATGGTAAAAAAAAAAAAACTAGATTTCAAACCAGATGTTTTTTTTTTAAATTTTTTTTTTTAAATGTATAATGAAATTAATTAACACGACCACATACATAGATATTATAAGACTATAATATAATATCTATGACCACATAACCTAGTAGTTCAGTCACATCAGTCTTTGATGAATTCAAATATAAAATAAAAAATTAATGAGCGTTAACAAAAACATAAATATAACAGTATAGGTAAATCATTTTGACAATTAAATAAAGATACTAAGTATAGAATATCTATCAAATTACAAGTAACATTGTATAAAACATAACAAAAAAATAGTTGAAACTTAATGATAATGAATTAAATAACTACATAATATTTAATAAAATAACTAGAGCAGACAACCAATCTGCAAATAGTTTGTCCTTCAGCCATTCAGACCGAAATGATTGATTGTATTGGGGTTTCCCCATGCTTAAAGCATTAAGTTTACAATTTATTAAATACTAATTAATTATTAAATGACTTATTATTAAATACTATTAAATATTCTTGTATATTATAAGTATAATAATTAATAGTTAATACCATAGACAAGAATTGTAAGGTTAATACTTAATACTTAATAGCACGGACTAAGATATACAGGACTGGACACGACAAGGTTGGAGGGTGTGGGGGGTTGACTACGAAATGTTTTACAACAGGCAGTGTTCGGGGGGATATTTTCCTTTTAGCATTACTAGCGCCGTCTTAGTGGATACTTTTGGAACTAGATGACAATAATGTGATCTAGTTCCATAAGTATCCACTAAGACGGCGCTAGTAATGCTAAAAGGAAAATATCCCCCCGAACTCCGCCTGTTGTAAAACATTTCGTAACCACAATATTCATCTCGTGTCCAGTCCTGTATATCTTAGTCCGTGCTTAATAGTAGGTATTCTGTGATAACTGCTAACTGTCAACTTAATAACACACTTGATAAGGTGTATAGATAATAATAATAATATAAAATATGGGTAATGTTATAATCATGGTTTAAGATAGTATATGGTTATAAGTGTTTAAGGGCCAGTTATACCGTCTGCGATTAAAGATTAAATCACAGACTAGATAGTGTCAGCTGATAACACGGGCAAATTCGGCCGATTAAACTCTGATTAATCATAATCATAGACGGTACAATTAATCACGGTAACCCGATGATGAGAGTAGACAAACTAGAAAGACATGGCAATTTATTGAAAGTAGTAGAATTACGTACACAAACACTTTCATAATTTTTTTTTTTTTTAACCAGAAAAAGTTTTTTATTAATGATAAAAAGCTAGAAAAAAAACCAGGAGCTAGGTGACGAATTTTCACGACTTTGAAAGATCGAAAAAGCCAGATCTAGCTCGAAAAAGGCCAAGTTGGCAACACTGGATAAATTGAGCAGGCATCGGCGGCGGCGACGCGATAACGAAAGGCCCAGGGGTACGCAATTGTGGTGCGCCGTGCGGTCAAAACACACCGCGACTAGTTTGGGATACACCGAAAAGTACCGCCACCGCCTGCTCAATATATCTGGCAACGACTGTACAAAACATATTTTTCCTATTTATAGATTTATAGGAAATTACAAAATATTATTGATAAATCCCAATTTCCCATAATAATATAATCATTATAATCACAACCAGCCGAACAAGAAATGGTTATGAAGAACTAGTTTCTTCAGCAACAGAATTATGTTCAAAATGGGGAATATCTATAATACAAGAAAATAAACGAAAGAAATTTGCAAAGAGGCAGTATGATAGTATTGATAATGATAAACGATTATACACAATTGAAGAAAACTCTCGCGTTTCCGTTTTTTTGCCCCTTACTGATACTGCTATATTTCAATTACAAGAGCGTTTCAAAGGACTTGAAACAGTTTCAAGAAATTTTGACTTTTTACTACCACTGAATTTAATTAAGTAAAGTGAAGAGAATATAATTATATTATATAGTCATGTTATGATATCATTTCATTTTATAGTACTGATGTTTCGTCTGATTTGACCAGGCAAGTTTTATCATTAAGAGATTTTCTAGGAAAACTGAAATGAAAACAATAAAAGAATTGTCTTTATATATTATAGAAAATGATATTTCATCACTTTTTAGTGAAATACTTACTGCCTGCATAATTTTTTTGTCTCTACCTGTAAGGCTGTAACTGTTGCATCGGCAGAACGCTCTTTTTCGAAACTTAACTTGATTAAAAATTATTTCCGAAATTCAATTTCACAGGAACGGCTAACAAATATAAGCATTTTAAACATTGAAAAAGCAAGAACAGATGAATTGAATAATGATTACATAATTGATACTTTTGCAAATCAAAAAGCAAGAAAAAAAAACTTTTTAAAGTAAACATAGTATTAAAAATTACCTATATTTAATGAAATCAATTGTATTGTTATTTTTTTATTATTTATAATTTTATAAATTATATATTATGTGTTTTCATGAAGATAGTGTTTAATATATTTTATTACTAAGGTGTTTCACAAAGTGGTTCTTTCTATCTTATTATTTTATCAAAAAATAGAAAATAATGAATACATTAGAATAATAAAAATTATTATTTATTATGATAATAAAACAAAGTCCTAACCAAAGTTATAACAAAATAATGAAAATAATAATTTAATATTCTCGAATTTCTTAATTTTGCTATGTTGTGACGGCTGATTCTCAATTTAAATGTTTATTGCATTTAAATTGGGAAAAGAAAGAAAATAAATGTTTTTAAGTGCAGCTATCACTGCTCCTCAGTCCTCACCTATATGTGTTCAAAGTTCTACCTATCTGTAAGCAGTATAAAGCAGTGAATATTATATTAACCACATAACATAATGTATACCTATAGCTAAAAACAACAAGCAATATGTAATGACCTATTGGTGCATGAAGATGGTCTCAACTAGTATTAAATTTCTGGGGGGGTCCACCTAACAAAACTATTAATTTAAAATAACCTATAAGCGGCTTGTATCTAAATAAATAAGAAATATTTTTCGGAGGGGTCTGAATCGTATTCGGGGGGGGGGCTTTGCCCCCCTCCTCATATTGTTGTGCCTCTGTACATGGGCCCTTTTAGTTGGTCGCACACCCACCAATATGTACCAAGTTGCGGCACTGGTGCAACTCTAAAACAAATGACCGTAGGTACATGAAATTTTGACTAAATGTTTATACTAACATTTTCTATACACCATAACACTTCCCAAATATTTTGATATATTTTGAGCTGTTTACGGACATTTTCAGTTTCCATTTTTTTTACTTTTTTTTTATATAAATATCAATAAAATTGTATTTGTTTGTTAAAAATTCTTGCAAATTTAATAGAAGACTCCTAGTATATTGTTTCAAAATCAGATGAGAAAAATTTAAAATCCTTAGTTACATTTTTTTTTTGTAAGAATTAAGTTCAAATATTGACAAAATTCGTAAACATGACGAAAATTTGTAAACTATTTTGGGTTAGAAATTCATAAAAAAATTTCTTTTTAAATCTAAAATTTGAAAATGTAATACAAAATTGATCATAAGTTTGTCTACTTTTATCAAACAAAAAATGGCTACAAGAAAGTCAAATTAAATTTTTTATGAGTTTTTAGAAGGAAAGTCAATTGCTCCAAAATAATACCTTCGCACGCCACCGACTCACACAGATTCATAATTCATAGCCA